TTGCAAAATACTCATCCAATGATGATCTCGACACCAAGCAGAGATGGTACAACGAACTACTCAAATTTGAGAACACCTTGCCACCTCGATTTTCAACATTACCGTCTCGTATCGCATTGGACCGCGGCTTCTGGCCGGCTTTGATACATCTATATCACATGTACCGTTTCCCGTAATGCTTCCTCTACCCCTTCAATGCCTAACAAAGTGTAATAGTGAGTATCAAGTTGTTTTCTACCGCGGGCTCGCAGACTGTGCCGACAGTAGTGTTCTAGTTGCACTTGCGGGAAAGGCCACTCGCATTCTGGAAGATCTGCTCGCCTCTGGCTCTCTATACCGTGCGCCATTCCATGTGTAAGTTACTGATCAAGTTCATTGGAAACTCCAGATGACTGACAGCATTTTAGACTGCCTGCAATTTTCTCTTCAACAACCATACATATCATTCAAAGCCGTAGAAAAGGGTCCCATATCGGAGTACTCTCTGAAAACAGAGCACGCTTAGCTTTGAGAATTCTGAGAGGGTTTCAGGATGCCTGGCCGAATGTCCTTTACATTCGCAATCTCTTGGAGCGCCTCCTCAAGAATTCATCAAACCATGGATCTGACGCCGAGGGAGACACGAGTAACACCTACTCAACACAGAATCCAGAGCCCACAAGGACTTTTACAGGACACAGAGAGTACAATGGGGGAGATCCGGTGGTAGTGGAGGTCATATCTCCTCTGGATACAGCGGAACAATTAGATGACCATGTATACAACCTCCTCCTCACGCCAGCCATGCCATTGTTTTCTTTCAACAACCTGGCTGAGGATGTGGGGTTGGGGCCAGACTTCTGGGCTCTAGATCAAGTTAGTGAAGGGTCTTTTTGATAAGCTAGTCTCCTGGTTCAAAAGATATCGATATGTATGGAGTGATGTTGCTCGAGCTCTTATGCAATCTTTTTTGAATCAAGACGGTATCGAAGATGATGTTATACTAAACAAGCCCTCCTGTTCCAGCACGTTTGGGTCCCCATGGTCTGTATTTACCTGGCCTTCCTGGCTTCTCGTATTTCCTATCTTCTGAAAAACAGAACGAATGCAGTTTCAGCGTTGGTGATTATGACTCGAGGCACAGTCCATTCAGATTAGGGGGCGTTATTCGATGGAATTCCACGAACAATTCACTAAGCTTATGACTAATAGACATGTGTGATGCTTCCTCATTCGACTCGATCCAGGTTAGCGACGCCTCCTTATTCCACGCAAACGCGCCCTATAAACGTGACAATTGACATGATACGGAGACAAAGCCGAAAACAAATCTGCTGATTCACAAGCCAAACACTAGGAAGACGACTTTTTTGCCAACTTATTTGATTTTTGTATTAAAACAAACTTTAGCCATTGCTTTCGATCGCATGCAGAGAAATCACTAGTCTCATGATGAAGCGCCAGTAATGGCATCAAATAGCAGCAAACAGTACGACAAACTTTCATGACTAAACGCCTTTGAATTATGAGTCAGGGCCTGGCGAAGCCTAGCTACTTAAGGAGGAAACTTGGCCCAGATATCAATACAGACTCTATCCTTACACCTAATTGATAGAGCTCAGTTGTCCGCGTGATGGCTCGTGCGCCGAAATGTAGTAGAAGACATAAAACCATTCACTCCGATGATAGGGATTCCTCGCATGACTTATACTAAGATCCCCTGCACTTACTATATGCTTCCAACATAGCTCATGATGTTTTTCATCGTCCAATATACACGAAAGCTCTACAAAACTATCAAATATCCCTTGTCGAGGATCATTCCTGGCACAAAGAATCAGACCCGGAAGTAATAGACTGGTTGAGAAGCCGACATATGAGGCATCAAACAGCAATATTCCCCGACTACTTCCTTCTCCATGCTGGCTGACATTCGGTTGCCGGGGAAAAGGTCGTAGATGCTACAATTCAGATTGTCTCTATCTTCATTCTATCGTAGCTGGAGCAATCCAAGAGGGGTTTAGAATGCCCCTGACGGACGGAAGGCTTTTGCTGCAAGGCGGACGATGTGTGCCGCTTTGAGTATAAACATACGAGCCACGGTCAGATGCAGCCGAAGTCTAATCGTCCGTGATAGGTATATTATACTTTGGCCTACCAGTCTCAAACGAGATAATTTTTTAAGCTCAAAGAACACTACGAATCCAGGACTGAGGGATTGTGCTAATCTAAGAGATTTGGCAAGACTTCGTGATGAATTATGTATATGAATTTATCTCCTGTGTTCAAAGTCATATATCTGCTATCTGTTCTTGTCTTATCGGAGGTTATACATATGCTTTTCGGTATCTAGACACTGAAAGACTCAAGCTAAACATACTATAGTTGCGAGTTGAAAACATTTGGATCGTAGCGACAACGACCACCCACATATATCAACTACGTCACACCTGGCCAGGAGTCGGCTTAAAGGAGCAGGGTGAATTATACTCTTGTCCATGAAGCAATTGTTTATACGGGATAAGTTGCTGTTACACCTCAAGTGGAGCTGTGCGTACACCTCCATTTTATATTGACCTTACAAATTTTTTCAAATTCTTCCCGGCAGGACCTAGGTTAAAAAGGGTTGGAAAATAGCCTGCGGAGCATATAAGAAGCCATCAGCTGTTTCATTATATGACCTTTGTTGACAGCCTTATATTTACGGCGATATTGTTTATAAAATGTTCAGAGGAAATAGAAAATTCTCACCGCACTTATTGTCTCCACCACAAAACAGCTCTCACGTTTCCTTCCACCCTGAGAATTTAGGCTTTCTTTATCTCTCTACAAATCAGAATCTCATAATTTTCGGAAACCTGATTCCGTTATGTGTCACGTTGAGTTCTGTTGATCATGAATCGACCCCCAAGTGAGAAGGCAGCCGGAGGACCGGCAATAGAGCGCCTGGTGAAGGTAAGTAGGATGACTTTTTCGCCGGTGAACATATAAGGATTTCAGGCTGACTTGCCATAAGGCTCTTCTTGACTTGGCCGACGAAAAACATCTTGTCTTACGACGACGTCTTCGACAACGCCATGTGATCAACAATTCACCTTGTGATTCGTTGCCTATTCCAGTTTTGAGATGGTGGGTGGTTCTTCAATGGTTTAAACCTTTCTCTTGGGTCATTATCATCTTGACAACTTTGGGCCTTCTAGCATGAGGTCAACACTAAGAAACCAAGTGAATTTCCCAAACACAGGAAAGTTTTCGTTCAAAGGCCGAATTCCAAACTTCAGATGGCGGTTTTCAGCAAACCAGCATATGGTTAGCCTGCCTCAACATCGTCATTTCATTCACCTCTGATACTCCAATTTTCTATGTATATATATATATCTCTAATAATATCACAATCTTTCCCTTCCAAGCTTACCACCCAGCTCAAGATCATTTCCATACGAGAAACGTATATTGTCTTCTCTTTGTACCCCCTCGCCACAGTTCAGCGACTATCGAGTGGCAACACAGCCAGAAAGGTTCTTTCAAGCATTCTCTGTGATCATGTCGGAGAATAACGAAGATACAGTTGACATCCTGATAGAGGTAAATTTTGCAGTGTTGCAAACAACTTCCCATTTTCATCTAGCTAATTTGAGCTCACTCAGGTTCTATATAAGTTACGAGATGAAGACAGATTGTCTGTGGAGGATGTATGCGACATTTATCAATCCATCGAAGGGAAAATTAAAGGTCATCGAGCTAAGAAGCTGGTAACCCTCGCAACAGATCCTGACAACTACTTGGATGACGATTAAGGCTTTCCTGAAAAACAAGAGCAGCTCAGCTCTCCATCCGCAACGCTCGGTCAGCAGAAGCAGAACCTCGAAGGGGAGATATCCCAACACATGCAACCAGAGGCTCCAAGAGTGAGTAACTGAAGCTAGCCGGAACGTGTTTCTCAGCTAACACTGTTTATTTTGAAGAGGCACCTTGACGTAGCCGCGCTAAATGACCCAGGGGCAATGATATGCCCTTGGTGGCTGACATTTGGGGGAAAGGGAAAAGGGCCTGGTTGTTCACAGCGAGGCCACCATTACCCTTACCTACATGCAAACCCAGCACATTTGCCACAAGAGCGACTAGAGTGTCCATTCTGGCGCGCTGGACATTGTTTCAAGGGCCAGAGTTGTTTGTTTGCGCACTGCCATACTAGACACGGCCAGGTTCAGAAGAAACCCGAGGAAAAATAGTTGCTTCCCGTTATTATTCATCATTAATTGATATTATGCCTCAATCAATAACCCGAAGCGAGAATGCCACAACGTGGAGTGACATCAGAGAGAGTGAATTACAAGGTGGAAATATGACACGGAGACAGGTCAAGAAGTTACTCTGCAACAAATTTCACAAGATAAGAAAGGACGATCACATTAGTTTCATTGACATTACAAACCATACCTAGCCCATAAGAGATAAGAAATTCAGATCAGGAAAATCAATCTTAGGGGGGATATGCCTGGGTAGGCTCCCTCTCAGTTCAATTTCTTAAGGAATCAGTACCTAGGTAGCCTCTAGAGCTTCTAAAACGCCTCTTTTGCAGGTCAAGGCTGCTCCGAGCGATGCTAGCCCTAGCATATGCCGTCGGTCACGTCAATGCAAGGCCCAGCGTCGCATAATGCCATATTAGAAGCACTTTCAGAAGCGTTTTCATTGACTTAAGCGATTTTAGCTCCCTTCAAGTTTGACCTGGAGGAGCTGTAACGTTGGTTACGTTGATCGTAGTTTCCGTCATTGAGGTTTCAGGAGAACGACAACGTTCTTGCCTAGGTAGTGACAGGAGACCTTTGTATTGACTACCACCAAGAAGGCAGCCAGATACCTACTTTGACCGTGTTAGGATCGTAGCCAAGAAAACACCTCAGCCCCATTCATGAAGATTCCTACTATCCTAGCCTTCGTAAACCACGTTGCAAAAGAGTCTGACACCACAGCACTAAAGACATCCCCAAGACCTCGCATATTGCTCAATAACCACAAGAATGCACGCAGCTTTGATCAAAGCTTGGGGCGATACCCCAGTATGGACCGTGGTCCCCGATCTTCCAGCTCCAACCGCGAATCAACTACATCTTCGGGTCCTCGCTGCCGGCTTGCACCGTGTGGTTCACTCTATCGCTAACGGCGCCGACGCACCATACAGTATCCTTCCTCATACCCCCGGCGTGGACGGTGTTGGTCTCGATGAAGCCACAGGCACGAAATATTACTTCTCCACGCTCAGAGCTGGCTCCTTTGCCGAATACGTCAACGTTGACAAAAACGCAACGTTCCCTCTAGCTCCCGACGCCAATCATATTTTGGTCGCCGGCATGATGAATCCAGCTGCTTGCAGTTGGATGGCTCTCAAGAAACGCGTCAACATAGGCACCCAGGAGCTCCCCCCTGACTGGAGTCTTCTCATCCTGGGGGCCACAACCATGAGCGGCCAAATTGCTTCGTCAATTGCGAGACACCTCGGCGCGAAGAGAATCATTGGGGCCGCAAGAAATTCAAATGCACTCGACCGAATCCCCGAGCTAGACGAACGCATGCCCATGCGAGACGAACCGAGCGATGGATGCTTCGATCAGATTGGGCACGTAGATGTCGTTCTCGATTACGTTAGCGGACCATACCCAGAGGCTGTCATCAAAGCACTGCAGCCTCAGAGAGAAATTGTCTACCTTCATGTTAGTATCATGTCGGGAGACGAGGAGTTTAGAGTTCCGACGCGCTTTCTACGCGCCAAACGTGTCACAATTCGTGGTTGTGGCCCTGGCTCTTGGGATCCTAGCGAATTGGCCGACGAGACGATGAATATGTTGGAGATGTTTGGAAGCTTGAAGACTGACGGCTTCGCCATCACCGCCAAGTTCAGCGACATCGAAGATATCTGGGATGATACGAGCGAGAGTCAGAGGAGGCTTGTCTTGGTTCCCTGATCTAGACGAACCAGTAAACCTCAAGGGGTTTAATACAATTTGATCCCTAGACTCAAAATCACACACCAGCGGCATTTCAGGAGATCCGTATAGCTAGACTCAAAATCAACCTAGGAAGTATATCTAACGCTACTCCTCAATGCACATTTGCTGTTCAATCTACCACTATGTTCTACAGTCCAAACAGTATCCCAGAGATGACACGAACATGCCACGCCATTCCGCAAGCAGTATAGATTTCAAGACGCAATTGTGATTTCTATTCCCTTTAATCACTACATTCGTAGCTAGCGATATGGTTCGAATGAGTGAAGGCTAAAGGCGAATGCTGAGGTTCGCTTGATTTAGCGTGCTTCATTCCGCCTCCATCGCACTGTTGTAATGTCTAAAATTGAGCCATCTGGGCTTCTGTATGATGGGGCTTGCAAGAGATGACAGCTTGATCTTGGCACTTATCGACACGTTTCGAGACTGCGGCGGGAAGCGCAAGTGCTCTTTTGCGGTGCAAAAAAACTTCTGCGGAAAATGTGCGCCACAGACACACATGGCCGACCGCGAACGCTCACGTTCAAGCTCACGTTACGTCGTCCGCAGCGGATGAGACAGTCAGGCTGTTTGGAATGCCATGCTGGAGGACTAAAGAGTGGCGGTAATATGAAAGCCAAGTAAACAAGTCGTGTTGAAAGTGGTGGAGAGATCCTGGTTTGACCTGATGGCAAGCGGATGGAGATGCGGAGCAGGTTTCGCGATGCGGTGCGATACGGTACAGTGCGGTCTAATCTAATCTGATATAGCAACACAAGCAGCTCCTAGAACCACTAGCACCAACTTCGAGAAGGGGTTATGCGCCTCGCTGCGACAAGCTCTTGCGGCAACTTGTCACTGTCGCCGATGTCCGGTAAGGTGAACCGACTAGCGGTAAGATGAGCCTACTAGATGGCTGGCATGCACGTCCGTAATGGCATCTGCGGCTGCTAACTCTGCCTACTGATCACGTATGTCTCTATCTAGGTATGACTACTTCCTAGGCTGCCCTACTAGAATGGGACCGTCGTATTTTGAGGGCAGGCAAGAATAGGCAATCAAAAGCAGTACACCAGTGCACGAGGAGACAAGCGAACACCAGGCACGGCCAAGGCAATTTCAAGGACATGATTTCCACATCATTTAATGAGGTACCGTGTACCGTTTGTAGAGACATGAGACCACACTGGGACCAGTTGAATGCAAATTGACTCAGTACTGATTGGTACTATCATCATTAGTCCGTTGGTTGTGCGTATCATGCATCGATGGCTGCTCAAGCCTTCCATCACTATGTACATGCTACGAAGGAGGAACAGAGCCCACAATAATCACCATCATGCCTTGAGTACTGAGCCCAACATCGGCGAGTCCTACATATCCCCATTCATCAGCATCCGACATGGTTGACCATACGGATTCACGTACGGTTTTATCGTTTCGAGCTTATATTATAGATTAAAGTCAAATAATAATAGTCTTCGGCACGAACTTCTCAGTGCTAACAATGTGGCCCGGACAATATTCATATATTGCTTACAGCTATGATCCTACTGGCGTCGGCATCTGCGGCTTGCCCTTCGCCTTCGGCGTCCTTGTCGGTTGTATTCTGACGCTTGGCAGCCTGTCTCCACGTAAACGCCGTGGCGGTATCAAACCGCTTCTCTTGGTCGCTTCATGCCTGATGACGCTGGGCTGTGGCGCCATGGCTTCGGCTCGCAGAGAAAGCCTCGCCAATGTCTATGCTGCTTTGTGGTTGCCGGCCTTGGGGTCGGCGGTATTGCTGTGCCAGCCTGGGTCGTTGCGCGGGTTGTCTGTCCGGACGACCTGATTGCCACCGCCGCGGCGTTTACGTTGACCATTCGCGTTGTCGGGGTGCTGTGGGATATGCGATCTACTACATCTTCAGGGGTAGCCTCACTGAGAAGCTGCTCGAGCATTTAGTCCTTGTGGCTGTTGAGAGCGCCTTCATGAGGAAGATGTGTCAAAGGTGATAGGCTTCATGGTGGGCTCGCTTCTTGCACCAATGCGTGGTATTCAAGGGGTTACCCCGGAGATTTTCAACAAGCTCGTCCTGGCTGGACAGGTGGCGTATGCGGAGGCCTATCCATACGTGTATTATTGCAGCATTGGATATGGTGTTATATCGATAGTTGCTAGCTTATTCGTCGACGACGTGTCGCAGTACATGGATGACCGTGTGGCTGTTGTCTTTCGCTAGATCTCAATGTCAGCAGCCGGCTGATTGTCAGTATGGCAGAATCTGTTAGTTTGAGAGGGGCCTTTGACATCTTGTCACGCGGAACATGGGTTGAGAGCTTGACTGGCTGACAGTCCAGCATGTGGTGGATGATGCAGCGAATCTTGATGCTATTGCTTGAATTTATAATTGTGAGCTGGGAACCTCTCCGAAACGATATTGTGCCCAGCCGAAGCTGCCTTCCTGCATCGTCCACGTTTGCTTTCCCGCGTCGTCTCCCGCCGCACCGGCAGCGACATGAATGGGCATCAGATGGTCCATCCACGGATGTGCTTGCTTCGCGTCCGGCCGCCTGCAGATTTCAGCCATCTTCTTCTGGCGCTCGCTCGGCGGGGCCTCAGCGGCCTCCTTCAGCGCGTTGTCGAAGGACACGCTGTACGGCATCGGTTCGCCGTCAAAGACGAGCTCCCGTAAATTGTGCACAGACATCCCTGCGCCGATGATTACAACACCTTCTTCTCGGAGTGGAGCAACCGCTTTCCCAAGCCGGTAGTGGGCGTCAGGATCCTCGGAGTGGTAGAGTGAGACCTGCACCAAAGGAACATTCAAGGGGTTCTCCTCCGGATGAAAGGCTTGTGGTAGCTGTTAGTAAATGCTCCTCTTGGTAAATCTTTCCCACGGTTGGCCAATTACGGCCTTGTAAAGAAATGCAATTGTGACTTACCGACATGGAATCCAGCCCATACGCCATGGTCGAGACCTCGCGAAACTCCTTCGGCCTTGATGCCAGCTTGGCTGAGCAAGTCTAAGACGTGGCTAGCCAACTGCGGACTACCCCGATTGGGGTATTTGGCTTTGTAGTAATGATCCGGGAAGCCGTAAAAGCTATATCCGCATATCAGTGATCATCATTCTGTGGAAGTGGCTTATCACGTACTCGTAAATGAGATCAGTGTGCTCAGCTTGATTGACTCGTATCGAGTTCGGCGTGGCTTGCCAGTGGCCCGAAAAGACAACCACCGCCTTGGGCTTGACCTTCTGTGTGATCTCGCGACCGATCTCCTGAAGCACGGGATACACAGGATGCTCGGTGTTGTACTGGACAGTTGGCTGTGGAAGGATCGTTAGGCCAGCGTCTCTATATTTATCTCGCTACGTGTGTAGGGCTGACAGGCGGGAGGGGCACTTACGCCGCCGTGGCTAAAAAAGTAGACGGGAGTCTTCTTCGCCATGCCGGTGGTCGCTGCTGGTGTTGAGTAATCACGTCGGGAGAGGAATGAGGCTACCGCAGCGAAGGCTTTTGAAGATGACGATGTCCAGCTCGAGAACATGGGCGAAGACCGGATATAAGGCGTCGAGAGCAACGCGGCTACAATTGCGACAGCGAGTGACGCCACTACTAGCAGGCCTCGTGGAGATCGCGTGCTACCCATCAAGACCACGCCAATGGCTCCCTATGTGTGTGGCAATTATAGATAGATTTCCCTCCTCAGCTTCACCGGAAGTATGAAGGATGATTGATTATATTCATAATCTTCCAAATCTCTGCGAATTTGTCAGGCCATGTCTCGTCCTCAGTGGAGCTCGATTATTCAATGATCACTTAAGACGAGCCAGCTCTCCAAAAATGAGTGCTACTGTGGATAATGAAGCCCCCTGCGGAGCCATTATGAGCGCCTCAGGGGCGCTAGTGCAAGGGCTGCCGCGCGCGCCTCGAGCCGAGCGGCCCCCAGAATCCGCAAATTCCTCTGGGAGCTGAGACTGCGGCTGAGGGGGGCCAACACACGCACACTCAAACATCGATCCTGTAGCGCTCCAGTGTATCAAGACGGCGGTGGTCCATCTATTGCTCCCGACCCAGCGCTCCTTTATCTACTCCAGAGTGCCGTATTGCCGCTCGCGATTCCGGATCCGGTCTCCTTACTCTCTGTTTTTCGCGTCTCGAATTGACGACTCTGCTTTGCCCCACGTACCGTACACCCGAGCCCCTCACTAACGCAATCGGCACCCGCATCCCGAGGTGCTTGAAAGGCATACACACGTACGTACGTACACACACACTCACATACCGACAGAATGGCCCTCCGATACGCCTCACCTCTTGTCTTTCCGGCTGTCAAGGCCCATACCGCAACGGTCATCTTCGCGCACGGCCTCGGCGACACCGGCCATGGCTGGGCATCGGCGGTAGAGAACTGGCGGCGCCGTTCACGGCTTGACGAGGTCAAGTTCATCCTGCCTCACGCACCACAAATCCCTATCACCTGCAATGTAAGTCTCCGCCAATACGGGGACTCTCCCGGGCATCATGTGATTCATGGCTAGCGTCAGCCGGAGATTCACCCGTCAGAGTGGCGACAGTGCTGTGAGACGTTCATCAACTGATCATTCATGTCTGGATTAGGGCGGCTTCAGAATGCCAGGCTGGTTTGATATCGTAAGTTCTCGACCACCTAACTACCCCTGATTATTTCATCATGCACCGTTGCTAAACTCCACGCAGGCCGTGCTTGACGGCGAGATAGAGAGCATGTGCGCCAACGAGGACGCGGCGGGCATCACGGCCAGCCGGGAGTACCTGCACGGGCTGATCCAGAAGGAGATCGACGCCGGCATCCCGGCGGACCGCATCGTGCTCGGCGGCTTCAGCCAGGGCGGCGCCATGTCCATCTTCGCGGGGCTCACCGCCAAGGTCAAGCTGGCGGGCATCGTGGCCCTGTCCTCGTGGCTGCTGCTGAGCATGCAGTTCCGCGAGCTGCTGCCCAAGCCCGAGTTCAACAGGGACACGCCCATCCTCATGCTGCACGGCGACTCGGACCCGCTGGTGCGCACCGAGCTGGGCAAGCTGTCGTACTCGACGCTGAATGCCATGGGCTACGATATCTCGTGGAAGGAGTACCCGTGAGTTTGACACGCGATGGCTTGGCGCTGGCCTATATAACGTTACATGTGGACGGTGGTGCTAACAGGGATGACAGGGGCATGGGCCACTCTGCATGTCTCGAGGAGCTCGATGATGTCGAGACGTTCCTTGGAAAGCGTCTGCCGCCGAAGGACGGGGCTGCAGCAGAGGAGACAGGCAAGTCAGAGCTATAAATTTAGCCCTATGCAAGCGCCACCTCCGGCTCACATCATCTGACTGCATGGACTTTTGCGTTCACGGAAGTACAAGGCTTTTGACCTGTCTTGGAGGCTGCTTAGCCGAAGGTAGAGGTGGATGATTGGCCGACTGAGGTGTTATGCTGGGGACTTGCGTCCCAGATCTGCCGCCCAAGGTTCTGAGCATGGCACACTGGGACGGGTCTCTTAACCAGCCCCTCATGTGGGCTGACATACCGTGCTTTCAAAGCGGGTGACTCCTGCATAGCTACTTTAGACAGCATGTGGCGCCGAGGAGAAACTCGATCTGCTAGACAGGGCGGCATGGGAAAGGCACGCCCTGGCTCGTTTGTTGTGGATATGGCGCACAGTGTTATGACAGATACGATCCCGCATTAGGGGTTGCTTTTTGCATAGAGGCAGTCCAGCCATATAGAGGACAATTCATTTATATATCACTCATGAGAAACTGCAGCATCAGGCCACAAGTTCGCCTTCAACTGCTCGACACCGTTCAAATGGCCTGGGATCGTTTAAGAAGCAAACTAGGGTAAACTTATTAAGACCGTCTTGGCCGCCTGTATTGGAAGCTCTCCAGGGTGGAGTTTCTCGTTTTATGATCACAATTTCATGCGAGGACATTGCACGCCAGTGTTGCCTGCCGATATAGGCAGGTATAGAGGTATTCCACGCCAATAAGGGCAATGCCTGCGATGCTCAGTTGGAAGCCAATCGTGCCTAACCTCTGGTTAGCTAGATTGAGCCTGGACGACAAAGAAAATAGCTAGTAATCTTCAAGTGATCGACTCCCGTTAAAGTCTGTACTCAGGGCTCCCTTTCCTTGCTCTTTCCCCCTCCTTTGATGCTATCTGTAGTAGACCTAATTAAGACCACTTTTATCTATTTGATATCCTGGAAATTCAATTAGTGACAGCAATTACTTATGTGATGACAAGGGTTTTTTCTCATATAGTTTATAAGATGTGTGTTAAGGAACTTATGAACGAAATGAACGAAAGGCAAGGACTAAATTGTGACATAGCTGGCTTTACCAGCTATGCAGACTCCTGCCGCTGGGTGACGGCCACTTGGTCATCTGCCGATATTGGCCGGTCTAGACAGTATATTGCAACGCTGTGCTACTACTATTCGGACGTGTTTTTTCTGATATGTTTCGCGGTGTAGGGTAAGGATCTGCAAAATAGGTATATATCGAGAAAGTTGTGTCCAAACCGAGCATTAGCTAAGCCGATGAGCAAAACCGATCGGGTTTGATGGGCCTATTCCGGCATGCGAACACGAACTGATTCGCTTTCCGCAGTCTTGGCATGTAGGCGATCAAAACAAGTTCGTGAATTTACGGAGTTCCTGTTTCGGACAAGACATGGGCGTGCAGACGTGCTCAAACGATGTTTGATATCGAAGTTGGGGGCAGAAGCGTGCAGTGGCAGTAAATAAGCTTATACAAGCTTGGAAGTTGTGTCGATGGGCGATGTCAACGATTGGGCCGGTCGTTCCCATACGAGCCTTAGTGCCGTCCGGCGTCCACCTGTCTATAACATTAATGTGGTCCCGGAGAGCGGCGGCGCAACGACCGGGGGGGGGGGGGGGGTGGCTTTTGGTGTATGGACAATAAGCGAGCATCGCCTTCCAAGGTTCCCAAGGTTCCAAGGTTGTCTTAAAGAATCTTATCTCTCGTTAGGGCTGGGACTGCGCCATAAGGCTGCATAGGAGATACAACGTTAAAACAAGCGAACTCACGGCCCCTTGCGGAGCGTGCGGCCGTGATGCGATGGCCGTTACTCAGTAGAGAGATGGAGCGACGTGGCGTGTGCTTGTGCATCTCCGACTTTCCGGCTCATCATCGGCTTACAACTGGGCGCTCTATGTCGGTATGTCGGTACGCAGAATGTACTTTGGTGGAAAGGCGTTTAAGCTTATTCGATCGACTGCTGTGGCGCCTGCAGTTTCAGTGGTGGTCATCCCAGATTTAAGCTTCAAGCGAGCACTAACGTTAACGGTATTGCATGTCCAGTCTTGCCCAGTGTCGAGCCAGTTCAAGACCAGGGCAGATGCGGTTTCTGCAGATTCAGGGGCCATCTATTGGCTGGCCTTTACGAGCCTGTCCGGCCGGGTTGCTCTCATGGCTTAGGTAAATTGATGACAGGGTTAATTGCCTTAACACCGAAGGCGTTAGCAATGACAGTCAGCAGGAAGCTGCATTTTCAGATACTTGGAATGCTTCCAGAACGGGCCAATTTGCCCAATCACTGACGCGGCTTGGGGTCCATGTGGATGCTGGGGATGTGAGGAGCCAGGACTATCCCGACATCAGCCCTGCCATACAATGCAGTACCATGCAATTTGTAGTGCGTGTGCCGCCAACCAAGATGGGCCATGTTTATTTCTGATGCTGCAGTAATAGTAGGCGGAGGTAGTGAAGTGATCTGTCCCATCATGGTGGTTAGTATTCATGGCCAATGATAGCCCGCTCCATCTTCGCATCCCCCTGCCCGGATTTAGCTGCGTCGGCTGATGACATCCACCTCCTTTCTCCCCAATCTCTCAAGGCAACATCTCGAATCAAGCCATCTTGTTGCAAATGCACCTTGAATAGGACATGATGTCACATTGCCTGGTCTCGAATCGACTAGACGTTGTTCTTCGCCAAGAAGCTCCATGAGGCAGAGCTTCTCTTTTCTCGGCCCTGATTCGAGAAATCCCGATCAGGGATCGTCGCCCGTCTGCACTGTCATCAGCACCGGAGAATACTCCCATCTCCGGAATTCCGTGAAACGGTCCGCTCGTGCCCGCCCGCCAAAGGCTGTGATTACTTAACAGACACGATAGCCTTGCGTGAGGCCGTGTTATTCTTCAAGGTCAGTCCACATGTTAACTGACATACCTACACCCAAAGTTATTCATCAGATGTTAGATGCCTCTTCCTTCTATTGCTTCTGCTTCCTCTTCTACAGCTCTAGTACTACTGCCAATGGGTTCGTTCTTCAGACCAGTCTCAAGCCGCAATATTGAGGTACCAAAACGGAAACGCCTGAGCGGCCCCAAAGTTCGCACCGGCTGTATCACATGCAAGAAGAGACACGTCAAGTGCGACGAGAAGAAGCCCAAGTGCGAGAGGTGTGAGAAGGCCTTCATACAATGTGATGGCTACGTCGGTGCGGAGGAGCTTAGACCGGCAAAGGTCGAGCCTCTTCCGCCTCCGCCAAACACCAAAGGACGTCCAATCCTCCCGAGACCCAGAGCAGCGGAGCAATCTGCGAGTGAGCTCGAGAGCCCTCAATTAAGTCCCATACAATCATTGTCGTTATACGCCTCGCTTCAGGGCAATGATACGATGTACTTTGACCTCTTCCAGCATCGGCTGGTACGGGACCTTTCCGGATTCCATCGCTCCAACTTCTGGTCTCGGACAGTGTTGCAGGGGATGATGACGGATGATTGCGTGCGGCACTCGGTGCTTGCCATTGGAGCGCTATCACAAGGCCTCTATGTTGCCTCAAATCCGTCGGAGGGCGACTCCCCAGGACCACCAAATGCCGTGGCCCATCGAGTTCACTCAGTATTGAATGAGCATCATCAAGCCGCTTTATATCACCACACAAAGGCTGTAGCCATGTTCAGGCAACGAATAGAAGGAAATTCCAGCAGGATCACTCCCAGAACTACCATGATTGCCACAATCCTCTTCGTGGCGTTTGAGTTCCTCCAAGGGAACGTACAAGCGGCAGACAGCCTCATAACGAGCGGCCTCCTACTCCTCAAGGACTCCGTCTCCATAATACAAGGGGCCAAGCGTCGACGGCGCCCCAAGACGCTGACGAAGATGGAGAAGCTCCAGCGGACGTTCGACGATGGCATGGACGAGCTCGAGTACCTGCTCCCCCGGCTGTCGGCCGTGACGGGGTTCAGCGCGTTCTGTATCCCGCAGCACGACCCGGCTAGGGAATTACTCCCATCCATCCTCGCGCCTGGTGCCCGGTCCGACTTCCCGGAGCTTGGCTTCACGACCTTTGAGCGGGCCACGCAGATGTGGAGCGAGTTCGAGCCTCGTGGCCTCATGTTCGTGGCGCGCCATCTCTCGATGACGCTGAGAAATATTCCATTCGACATGGCTCAAGCGCAGCGTGAGCAGGCCGAGTTTATCATTCTCCTATACCAATGGCGGGACTTATTCGAGGGGTATGTCCGCACTTTCGCAGAGCAGAGCAGCGCCGGTCTGGCAGGCGTAGGCGTCGATACTTTGAAACAGTGTATTATCTCGGGCAACGAGCAGATGCGGGAGCTGCGCATGCTGCAGATCCACTGCCTCTTACAGATCATCTTCATGTCGTGCTGTCTCGACCACACCGGATTAGCCTTCGACGGCTTCATGGCCGAGTACCGCGAGCTACTGGACCGTTGCCGCTCGTTCCTGGCGGAGCAGCCCAACAACGTGGGCTTCACGCTCGACTACGGCGTGATCCCGACGCTGGCGTTCATCATCAGCACGTGCCGCTCGCACGATCTGCGGATGGAGGCGTACGCACTGTGCCAGAGCGTCGAGTGGCGCGAGGGCGCCTGGGACGCCAAGGTCGAGGCGGTGGGCAAGATGGGCCAGATAGCGCTCGAGGAGAGCGGGATGGACGCCAGCGGGTTCATACCGCCGGACTCGAGATACCACTGGACGATGGGGACGTGGGATATGGCGCAGCAGAAGCTGGTTGCCGAGTACACGAGGTTTACGCCGGATGAGTTTGGGCTGCCGGTGCAGGTCAAGGTGGCGCTGGATGTGATATGATATATCACGATTTATGATATATAAGGGGCTCCGTCATGTTAGCATCCGATCTAGACTAAGAATCCCGAATCACTGGTCGAGTTGGGGTCTGGATTAAGTAGACGCAACATCACGGCACAGACTATTAGAGGATCAACGGCAGAGCTTCAAGAGTTGAGTAAGCCTGCCTCATGTACAGCCCCTTTGGCTCTTCTATAAGGAATGAATAATTCAAGTTACAACTCAACACCTCCATTTGGTTACAACGACGGAGCTCAGGTTTCAGTTGTCTTGATCCGGAGCCTGAGTAGGTAGCGTTAAAAAAGGTAGAGAGGCCGGTTATTGAAAAGATATAGCATGTATGAGGCTCGCCTAGTCTATTTCAGGGACCACATAGCGCTGATAAGGACCAACAAGACCGCGTTAGAGCGTTAGAGCGGTTCTGCCCACCCCCACATGCACCCGTTTGAGTCCCTTATCAGCCGCAAGCCGTTGGCCAGGTGCTGCTGATCACAGGCAATTGGAACCCGGTTAGACCAGGATTATTAAATCATCTGAAAGGGATCTTGGGAAAGCCGCTGAGAGCACAACACACACCCTCCGCGAACCCTGATTTTACCTCTCAGCCGAATCTCTTGGTCAGGGCCATCGGGCAAGGCCTCTCTTACTTGGTGCATCTGGCCAACATACATCTATTTGGCCGAGGATCATCAGAAACAGGAACAAGAAACTCCTAGGCTCCTGTGTCTTATCGGACGGCCGGCTGGAGCCCCGCCAAAGTAAACAAAGGGCAACGTAACCGTCGCATCGCTCGGCATCATGGCCACCACGCAAGCCCGGCCGCCATCACCGACTCCTTCACAACTTCCACCCGTCCCAGCATCGCCGACTTACTCCTACGCGTCGACCGCAAATCCCATCTCGGCATACAACCTCCCTCTGCCACCGCCGCCCCGAGCCGCCCATGCCGTCCTCACCAAGTCCGATCTGGAGCAGTCCCAGGCTGCATATGCAGAAGTGCTCTCCAGCGCAAAGTCCTACCGCTTAGCCCTCGCCGCGCTGTCTACTGCCGCCTCGGCCTTCGGTTCCGCGCTCGAGTCCTGCGCTCGGCTCAAGGAGGCGCGCGCTGACGCCCTCGGTCCTCCCGCCGCAGCCTCCTTGTCGAATAGCTTCAACGCCAAGGGCTCCTGCACGGCAGACAGCCTGCTCGCCGCGGCGGGCGTGCACCACCTAGTCGCGAACCACCAGCAGATCCTGTCCGAGACGGTGTACCGGTCGTTCGAGGTGCCGCTGCTGCACGAGCTGGACAAGTGGCGGCGGGACGTGGAGGACGAGGAGGAGGGCTACGTGCGGGCGGTCAAGAAGCAGAGCCAGGAGATCCGGCGGCTCGAGAAGGAAGGGCTCAAGCTGCACCGCCAGCGGCGGCGCGACGTCGCCAAGTTCCGCAGCCACCTCGTCGAGCTGACGACCAAGCTCGACGGCCTGACGACGCTCAACGCCGAGCACGCGCGCACGCTGCTGCGCGAGAGCCAGGACACGAGCGTCAAGATCCTCGACGCCAGTTGCAGCCTCGTGCGCGCCGAGGTCGACATCTTCGAGAGCCTCGCGCGCAAGGGCTGGTCCGGCGGCGGGCTCGACGACCTGCTGGAGAAGGGGACCGATCTGTTTGCCAGCGACGACGCGGCGGGCGATGGGTCGGGCGGCATCAACGAGTCGAGCAAGCTGTTTAGCATCCTGCCGCCGAAGAGCATCCTCGCCGATTCGGCGTCGGATACCGCCGCCCGCCAGGGCCACTTTCGGGGCGATAGCCTGACCGATGCTGCAATCCCGTATCAGAGTTTGTCGGGGGCCATGTCGCAACCAAGGCTCGGAGGGGATACGGATAGTGTGTTTTCAGAAGTTGCGCGATCGAGGATGATAAGGCCGTTCTCGCCGCCTCCTGTCAAGGTGAACCCAGAGGACGTGATGGGTGACGGAACCGGGGAGTCCTCGTCCTCAATGGCGAAGGCGTTGGAGGAATCTCGAGCACGGTTCAAGTTGCCCCCGGGGGACTTGACACCCGAGGAGGAAGAGGAGGAGCAGGAAGAGGACCAGCCGTGGAGAAAAGAGGGCCGGAACTCAGGAGAACAAGACACACCAAGCGCAAGCATGCAGAGCTCCCAGCAAAGAGAAAGGAGGTGGAGTGTGAACGAAGATCAGGTAGATTAGAGCAGCGGCTATGCGAATGGGTGGCGGTAATACCATCGGGTCATATTTGGGCGTTATTCCACACTTTCAGGTATCAATTGGATTTAGGTGGTGTCCTATCCGCAAGGATGCGGACATTGGTGTAATAGTTTGTCATCATGATCTGTACAACTTTTCCCCTGTTTCCCAAGATGCTCGTGATCCAAACGCCCACGACCATGTTCAATGTTTTGTTCTGTACACCTCTATAAACCCATACATTTACAGCCCCCATTTAGTCATCTTTGTCCGCATTAAGGATCTCTCCGCCGAAGAGCCGGAAAGTAGAGTCCAGCCACCAGATGAACTTCCAATACAAGCTAGCTTTGTCCCAGTCAAATTCACCCAAATCAGTTCTCGGGACTTCGTTGCCAATCATTGATCCGCTAAACCATTTGAGAAATGGAACGTGGTTGAGCACCCTCTGCGTGTACGACTGCTGAGGCATCAAAGCTTGCTCGGCGGGCATGAAGCGAATCTTTCTAGCCGTTGGTATCCGTCGACAATATTCGCTGTTGGGATCGGATGTCAGGCCTTGCGCTGCATCTTGGCCAGTCACGGTGGCAGTCGACGAGGTCATGGTATTCAGGGTGGTAACGGTTCCACTTTCGACGGTTCGAGAACTGGTCTGTGACTGCGAAGGCGAGGTGTCCATCTCGCCTGCAACTATCTCTCGAGGTAGGGATGAGGTTGTGAAGGATGGTCGAAGCTCGCCTGCAGTGCGATTTCCAGCTGTGCCAGGTCGGCGCCACGATCGTGGTAACTCATCTCCCAACGCAGCAGTTGTCGCATCGGGGATCGGCTCATCTCGCGATGGCGGAATTCCATGATATGGTTCGGCATACACAAGGTAGCCTAAGATCGTCTGCGGTGACGTGGAGATGGCAGCTTCCGCAGCTTGCACAGACTCGAATGTGACCTTGACCCAATGCTCCCCGCCGTCAACTCTATTAACTTTGGATCTCTCTTCCGCAGTTAGAGCGCGCCGTCGAGTGAAGGCTGGATCGCGAAGCTCTGACTTGTACCGCCGATTCTCCACTGGCGGGTCGCGTGAGTAGTCCTCGCAGATCCTACCTGCGAGCTGCTCGTAGTGGTTGATCGCAGCGTATTGCTGAGAGTGTGACTTATAGCCCCTCAGTATGACTTCCGTTGGGACTTTTGAGACTGCGCGAGATGGTGTCGATGTCGCCGCATCGTCGGCACTTGTGCTCAGTATGTTGGGCAGAGAGATCGACGCAGGAATGCTTTGCTTCCTCTGAGGGGTAGTCGTGGCAGTGCCAGGCTGAGATTGCTTGTTGATCCATTCGCCAAAGATCTTATCAGCGGACTGTACGGTTGGGTCCTCGCGTCGCGCAGGAGTGCCAGTCTTCGATCGGGACCTCCTTGTCGACCTGCCAAAGGCGCCCGACTCCGCTGCCGCCCGACGGGTCCTTACGCTGGACTGATGGCCACCTTGTCTATAATTCATTAGACACAATAGGAAGTGCAAACAGAGAATCAATCTGATGCTTACTCTGGGAAAACCATCGCATAGGGTCGCTGGATGCCATCATCGCCAATGTAGAGCTCGTCGTCGGGCACGTTATGCAGGATTAAAGGAGCCATCCTGACAGCGTCGTGGGGTGCTGCCAGAATCAAATCAACGGCTCTAGGTGATGCTGAGTGAAAGAAGTGTCGCTCTGAAAAGAAAATGCAAGTACTATCACAATTCGTCAGCTCTACAACATCAAAGGGTGTTGAGATGGAGGGTTCTTTGTGCTGAAGACGACGAAATGCGCCGACGCGAAGCTGGTGTTGAAATTCTGCCACAGCAACGCTGGAAGCTCAGGTCGCCTAAAAAATAATGGGGTCCACCAGTCGTTAGCGCGGCTCTTCCAACCTAGATGAGATGCCCACCTAAATGACCGCCTGGACCGTGCGAGCTTCCCAAGCCTTATCGGTCGATAAGATGATGTGACAGCCGCTAACGGCACCCATATCCTGGGGAAAGCTTCCGCTCCCCAAGCTTCCGGCAGAACTTCTCGTGCAACGGTTGCTCATACCTCCCATTTGCACACCTGCAAAGGCTAGGATGGATGCTGAGCCAACATATACGGTATTTGTTCGTCTCCCCTTTCCCAGGGGAGACTTCGTAGATCCTCCACCGGTAAGTAACCTTCCAAGCTGGTGAGGCTAGCTGCTGTGCTGAATGCCGATCAAGGTCAACTGGGACTCATCCAAAGATGAAGCCCTTTGGAAGATATTGTCTGGGGTCGCAAAGACAGAGATTGACTGTAGGTGATCTACTGAAGTGTCATGTGATTCAGAGCTAACGGTCTTTAGGGGATGATTTGTGAGTTTCAACGACTTCTCCGTCGAGCTTGCTCCCACTTACATTTCCTCAGAGCTATCAGGTTCCAGGTCACAGTCGAGTTCCTACTACAACAAGTCACATACCTTACCGAGCGACATACTTCCCAAGTACGCGCACAGATGCGAAAGGCCACAGCTGCTGCGAAAGGCTCCTCAGCCGCGTCCCCCGTACCGGGATCCGAGTCGACCGCAGCAGCAGAAGCTATGAGGAGGACTGGATCTGGTGGTGGTCGGGCGCCTTCATCATTGTCTGTGCGGAAGGACTCCCCAATACCGAAGATCGATCACAATATTCCCGGAACGCCAAATAGGACTACGATGGGACGTCCACAAGTGTCCCGAGCCTCGTCCGCCAATACTACGGTGCAAACGGCGGGGGGATCTTCCCTAAGGCTAGCCAAGCCACCCTTACGGCAGACATCGCAAAGACGGCGATTGTCATCATTACCCATTACTACTACACCGACTGAACCAGAACCTCCGACCGAGGATGATCCGATGTCACCAGGCCCTGCTGAGTCGAGCTCGGCAGCCTCGTCGTCATCTTCGAGTCCGGCCCAGTCCCGAATCATTCGACGGCCGCCGCGCTTCCAACAACACCAAGATGAGACAGGCTCTTTTGCAGATGATGACGAAGCAGAACCCGCTTTCTTGCCGTTTAGGCCACAGGGTAGTGTTGGGAGCAGCGGACAAGACATGGGTGCTACATTGCGTGGTGATCCGCGCGAATTTGCAAAACGGCTGCCGAAAGGTTCTGGGAAAGAGAGAGCACAGCAATCACAAACTTCAGACTCCTCAGCAAGTTCGGCTGCTATTGCGCCCACAAGAACACCCGGAGACCGACGACCTCCGGGTCCATTGTCTCCCCGCCGCACTGCGGAGTTGGCTGGCAGGAGTCCAGGTGTGAAAGGAAAGGGGTATTCTCGAGAGGGCAGTGATGGCACGCCAAGCATGGGCAGTAGCTTCAGTGACCTTGACGGTAAGACCATACTCTTATTAGAGTCATGAAAACATCGGCTAATTCATGGTAGATGCCTCAGTGACGCAGTCCGCTCTTGAGGAAGCGCTTGCGAGTAACATGCAAGATGGCGGAACGATTGGCAGTAGGATGAGCACAATCAGCCAAGCCTTCAGGAGTCGATATTTACCTAACAACAACCGGCCCTTAACTAAGTAGATGTTATTTTTGAATTCAAGCAGGATTCTGGCATAGCTCATGGATAGGGAACGGGAAATAGCACGGTTGGGTCTGGCGTTTGATGGAAATTGGAAATTGGCAAGCAAGAACAAAATTGTCATTTCTATGTCTTATCTTAACACAGGTGTTTTACCCGATAATCGACAAATCGATAGATTACTCGGATCCTTGGTCATCCTCTCCTTGCTCTCCTCCACATTCCTTTGTCCCCCGCAGCCTTCTGCAGACCAAGAGGCCAGAGAAGACAGGGCGCACCATATTGTGGAGCTAGTGCCACACAAGAAGCCTCAGTGATCCACTGGCAATTATGCTCGTTCCCCAAATGAGAGCTCAGGCTTCCCAGGGTTGGTACAAGCAGTGTCCTGATTTCAGCAATATGATGTGTATTCCGAGGTTGGAAGTTCCGGATCCTTGCGTCAGAAACCCGGACAGGGTGGGATGGTTTCGTTTCCCTGCAGCAAGTCGGTAGTTGTACAAACTTCACTCCGTGATACTACCACAAATTTACGAATTAGCAAATGGATTTTTCTTCTTTGTTTTCGTCATTTTCTTCATTTCTCGTCTCTGTTGGTGAAGTCTTGATCATCGTTCTTAAAGCACTAGCTTGCGGACACCAGAATGGCCACGATTGTTCACCAAAAGGTGCTCGGGTTGTAGCCGGGATGGTTGGGAAGGTTCTTCGGAGCATCCCAAGACTGAGCAACGGTGGTCGAGGATTTCTTCTCAGCAGGTGCGGGCTTCTTGTCCGAAGTAGCTCCAAGGAACGCTCGAAACTTGGCAGTGTTGTCCTCGAGGGCTTTGTCCTCTCGCTCCCAGCCAGGCGGCGCAGGGGAGTCGCGTTTCTGAAGAGCAGGAGTCGGATTGCCGCGAGCATAGCGGCTGTCGCCCAGGCCACGCTTAGTGCCACTGGCGCCCTCGGCAGCGATCGTGAAAGGAAACTTCTGGTCATTCTTGCCAGTCATGTCCTTCACCTTGCCGTGACGGGTTCGAAAGTGGGCAAACCCGCACTTAGAGCCGCGATAGCAATGGCCTTCATGCCAGAAAGAGCACTCGAGCGGCTCCTTTGGTTTACCGTTGAGCACCTTGTGAAAGTACGGCTCATGATCGCCGGGGTAGTCGCACGAGTGCTCGGCGTTAGTCGAGGCCTCGGACTCCAGCCAGTATGGGCAGATAATGGCGTCTGGATGGTTCTCATCAATCGTGACACGATAAGTAGCAGGGCTGTTCTTGATGATGGGACTACCATACACGTCATAGTCCTGGTCATCTGCATCCTCTGACTTGTAGCGGACGACCTGCTGCTCTTTGTTGGGCGGCGTAGCATTAGGTGCGTTGTCGCCGTGCTTGATGGTACTGGCAGATCGGTCGCTCGGGGCACTATCAGGACCGTACATCGAACGACGCATCTGTCGAAGTTGCTCGCGGTACTTCCTGATCTCATGCTTTTTCTGCTCGGGAGGCGTAATGTCTTTGGCCTCTTCGCGAGACCCTCCGCCGGACTGAGCATTCTTCTCAGGAGCCTTACAGGCAGTGGGAGCAGGAGACCTCTCGGCGACATTGCTGGTAGATGGAGAGTCAAGAACGGCAGGGGCCGCAGGCTTGACGGGAGCAGCACTATGCTGTCTGGTCTTGGTAGAGACCACAGCGGACTTCTTCGCGTCTCGTGTTAGCGCCACACCGGTGAGGATCTCATTCATGGAGGTGAGAATGCCCGCGTTGATCTCCTCAGAAACCATGCCGCGGACCTCATCGGAGACAACCCCGATCTTGACTAGCTCATCAAGAAGCTACATTTTATTCTATTTAGCATAGTCTCATGATGGGATGATATGTGTGAAACGCGCTCATCAGGATCGGATAGAAAAATCAAGGTAAGCTTACAGGAAGGAGCTGGTCTCGGAGCTCAACGGCGCGGTTGATGCTATCCATGGTGATCAGGATTCTGTCGAAAAGCTTGTTGTAGTGAGTGTAGAAAAATCCGCCTGTCGTCGAGATTCAAGGTGATTCCTTCTCACGCGATGGTGACGCGAGTGAAGTTAACCAAGGCGCAGATGAAGGTGAACGGCCTTGGGCGAGGAGTGGATTTGTGTTTTCAGATACTTGTGGCAAAAAGACGGCAGGCAGCTGTCGGGTTGATAGCGTCGCTTGAAAAGATATCAACACAGCTTGGGTGTAAATGTGCCAAAAGGGCAAGAGCACTTTTCTGTGTCAAACCGCCCCTATCCAAAAGTCTAGCTCAACACCATCATCCTCGTTAAGCTATGACATATATGTATGTCATACACTGATAATTTCAGCTTCTTATGCAACCTAAGCACTTAATTATACATTGACAACACATGTTGATGAAACACTGGCCGACACGCCCCGGACATCTCTGCCAGGAATCAAATTATGGCAAGGTTCCGGGTCTGTCTTTTGCTAGACTTCAACGCGAAACTCAATTCCTAATTTTAAGTCAAAGCAATGCGTAAAGTGTTTCCGGGAATCTAACCTCGTCACTCCGTTGTGATAATGGATACACCATAGGTGGTAGGAGAGGGTTGATCATTGTAGATTTAGCGAGTCAAGTACGCACAATTGTAGTTGTACGAATGGGGCGATTATGTACAGAAGCTGGAAGGTTCTCGCATGTACAAATATTTATGATTCTCTTGTGGTATCATGGAGTATCTATATGACTTTCTACATCGTGTTGCCCCTGGAAGGATATCGCTGCAACAATTGGAAGCCGAGAATACTTCTTGACGGTGTCTTCCCTTCCCTTAACATTGTGAAACTCCCTGAAGCCATAATCATCCGCAGTTGACAAGTGGAGCACTTATGTCGTAATGCAGTTGATATCAAGCAGAGAGTTATCCATGTTCGTGCAGACCCATTGAGGAGTTTTGCCGCTTGGTGGAGTAATACTGATATTGTGGGCTTGGATGTTCAGGCATACCTACGGGTCGGTTAGACATCTCAACAAGGTCAATCCCACTTTCTATGAAGAAATGCTTACTTCAGGGCTGCTGCAAATAAGAGTTCCAACTTTCGGGTCGTATTTCTTAGATGTTGTTCCATAGAAGTTCTTGAAAACGACATCTGAAATTGTCATGTTTGACTGTTTTCTGTCAGCAACAATGTCTCGTTTGAGGGAGACCGACGAACGTACCGGATACATATTGCAGAGGGTTTGGTTGCTCTGGCCATAGCACTGAGTAAGCTCAATGGCCCAATCGTTATTGGTATTGTGGAGATCATCGTAAGTGATGTTCTTGACATAGCCAGCTCCACCGCCACCAGACAGACCAGGCTGGAAGTCTGTATCAATGCCTGGCCACACCTTGATGCGTGCTCCATCGGAAGCATTTGACATCGAGATATTGTAGACGTAGACATTTTCGACGATGTCATACTCCAAGACATATTGGCCCAGAGATCCAACCGAGATTCCGTGCGAGCCATTGCATTGAAGACCTTGTACGACGATGTTGGTGCTATTTGGCTTGAAAGACACGCAATCATCACCATTATTGATCACGGAGTTCTGAATAACAATGGAGTCGGAGCGGAATGTGTCCCAGCCGTCGGTGTTCTTTGCGGGGTTGCTGCTGGTACTCTGGACCCTGGTTAGCTTTGTTCATATGTATGAGAAGAAACGCGCTTACGCCGACACGGATATCAATGTCGCTGACAATAATGTCGGAGCTATTCGCAATCAAGTTGAACCAGTTGGGCGAGTTCCGCATCTTCAGCCCGCTGACTGATCCACCTTTCAGGCCATCGATCACCAGCAAGATGGGACGAAGGAGCGTAGCATTGACAGCGAATCTGTCGTACCACGGCTGGCCATTGCCATTGATCAGCCCAACTCCGCCGCCGTAGATATTGACGTCCTTGCCACCGAATCTCCACATAGCAGAAGATGTTTGGTACGCATATTTGAACGTGTGCTCGATCCAATAATCAACGTCTCCAGCAAAGTTGACGGTCCCGGAAATGGCCACGTCCACGCTATTCAAGAAAGTGAGGTCCAAAGGCGATCCGATGGTATAGTCAGCGTCCAATACAACGGTGCCGCCATTGTTGCACTTCTGAAATGCCTTTAGGATGTTCGGGCCGTCATCATCGCTGCTGCAGCTAGGCTTGACGAAGCAGTACTTCAACGGATCCCGGGCAGGCGAGACAGCATGAGGCGTGCCTGGTTGAAGTGGGAATGCCTTGATCTCAGGACGCGCAATTGGTGCCTTGCCGTCTCTTGGGCTGAGGGCAGCATGGACTGAGCTCGCGAAGAGACTGGTCACAGCAATGTAGGCTGCTTTGGTGATCATTATCGCGATGTGTAGGTGTCAGCAACTCGAATTGCTGTTTCTTTACTACCTTGAAACCCGACCGAACGGATTCAATGACACCCTACCACGTTCTCCGGTTTCTGAGAGCCCATCGTTCGGTACTTCTCCTTTATATCAGCGTTTCACCGTCAACGATTTTGACGAAGGCAGTTCCATCTTTGTCCCGAGTTCCGGGGTTGCGCGTTGTCGAAGCTCTCGAGCATGGGGCTTGTAGGTGGTTCCTGGGCTAATAACATAGCCTAAAAATGCACACAGAATTTTTCCGTCAGTCACAATCTGGGAGAGGCATGTCTCCAACAGTATACCCTGTGGCGATCTCCTAGGGTGATGTAACGGTGTAGCTGTCGAGGTGAATAGGCCAATCAGGCCATATGGCCATCGGTAGTAGCTTTGGGGAAATGAGGAGAAGCAGCCACACTGCGGGGATGCCTCCACATCCTGTCAAGGCTCCCCAGACACCCTCATTCTCTGCTCTTCCACATCCCGCAAGAATTCAAGAGAAATCCCGGACTGCAGCTGTGCCACGGATCTAATATGCACAGTATTTGCTGATATGATAACCTTCCAGCCGATGTGGCTGGGGAGTCTAACGAGCCTGGCTCGCCTGGGATGTCATTATCGACGCACGCAGAGCTCCCCATTCGTGGAACTCCGGCCCTCCGTCGATAGCTTCATGGGCGTGGATTTCATCTCCAAATCACAGTGTGCGTGATTCCCGCAGCCAACAACACCTTCTTGTCGTTCGTGGAGTCGCACGCCCACGACATCAATTACTCTGAGATTACTTTCCTAGAGGTATGGCTCTGGTACTAAATAAGGGAACGATTGTTCCCACATGAACCGACCTCCAAGATCCAGTCTTGGCATTGGTAGTCTCCCGGCCAAGAGAAAGTCAAGATGTTGAGCCTCATTTCCTTCGGTCTCTTGGCTACGACTCTGCTATCGAGGGCAGCGGTAGCAGATGACCACACGAAAGCATCTCATCCCGCGCGGACATTTGCTGCTTGTCAGAAAAAGACATGCAATCCGCTGCAAGGCTGTCCCGAAGGAACCATCTTCGTCAGTGCGACTCATCCCAAAGCGAACTTTACCAAGGTTCAGGACGCCATCGCATCACTACCAAACAATACAACGCCGTACTACATTCTCATCGGTTCAGGGAATTACACCGAGCAGTTGAATGTAACGAGACAAGGACCGCTGTATCTCCTCGGCCAGTCGAACAGGCCTTGGCAGGACAAGATCCTAGCTGACATCAATGTCAACACCACCGCTTCGAATGATGTCCAGATCTGGTGGAACGACGCCAATGTCGGCGGAAATCTCTACACAGATAACGTTTACACCGGCGTCCTGACAATCGGTCCCACACTGAACGCCACTTTGACCGGATCGGGACCGACTGGTTTTCCGGTACCAGTAGACACGCCGTTCGGTTGCTCCGATTTCAGGGCGTATAACATCGATTTCCGCAATGAGTATGCACCATATTCCGATGGACCTGCTCATGCCCTTGGTGTCAGCCGGGCAAACGCTGGCTTCTATTCATGTGGCTTCTACAGCTGGCAAGATACGGTAAGCGGCTCTTGCATGACGTATCGCACGTCGTATGCTAATACGAATTAGATATACATTGGAAAGTTAGGCAATGCTTACTTCTACGATACCATCACCGCTGGGCAAACTGACTTCCTCTACGGCTTCGGAACGCTGTACATCGAGAAGTCCACGCTTTCGCTGCGCACCTGTGGAGGCGGCATCACCGCATGGAAAGGCACCAACACAACCTTTGAGAACAAATACGGCGTCTACATTGATGCCACACAAGTCATCGCGTACAACTACACAACGGCTCTAGCCAACGTGGGCAAGTGCGCATTAGGCCGCCCCTGGAACGCGCAACAGCGCTCGATCTTCATGGACAGCTACTTCGATACCACCATTAAGCCCGCAGGTTACATCATATGGAGCGCGACTGACCCTCGCGTGAACAACTACACATTCATGGCAACATGGGATGACTATGGACCGGGCTACAATAAGACGGCAGAGCGGTTGAGCAATGTCACCTTGGTGCTCAATGATGCACAGGTCGCCCCATATAGATGGCCGGTGGATGTCTTTCAGACAGAAAATGGCACCCCAGGGAACGTTGGCTGGATTGACCAGAGTGTCCTTGTTGGACCATGAAGCGGGCACACGGTGAAATGACACACTTAGGACAGATAGAGTCATGTACGCAACAGAAATTTTCTCCGAATAGCTAAATAATGATAGCAAATGGCTATTCATAACCTGTCAATTGATCTAATACAGGTCGGCCACCTTTCCAATACAGTTAAGGCTCATCATGCAGCAAAAGGGTCCGCGATGTTATCGGAATACTGCCCACTCTTCCAATCGAGAGAGTGCCAAGGGTTCCCGTGTCAGATCATGGCTGCGGACTGTTGTGAATGCGTTGAAACATCGTCAACTCAATGGTCCAGGTCCATGTTGTGGTCCCCATCAATGGTTGCTGAATCAGTGTCTGACATGTCCTCCCCTGCGGCTATGATACAAGAGCCAGCTAGATCGTTGTCTCCATCATTCTCAACGACAACTGAGTGATGACCGACCAAAACATAGCGCTCGCTCTGGCCACCATCTACACACATCGGAACATTATCCTGTTCATACATCGCATTCATTGGCTCTTCATCAGTAGCCAGGTCAATGATCGAATGCTGCCTCGATCGCTTACTAATGAAAAGCACACTCTGTCGTCTTGCCAGCTCAAGCGCCTGCTGCTCGTCCATCTGGCCCTGAAAATGATATTGGAGGCTTTCTCGTCGGGCTGTTTCCCACTCGTCAGTATTGTTGGTAGATCTACCCGGTGACTGAAGCTGCTGGTTGGTCCGAGAATTGCCGGAGTACACATTGGATTTCGGATTGATTTCGTTGTTTTGTTGGTGTGGCTTTTGCAAGCTCGCGCTGACAGCTAGAGCAATGACCTCCTCTTCGTCCAGTTGCTGCAGCTCGTTCTTAGTGAGATACTTCTGCTCCTTGACTTCAGACTTGAGGTGGCTCAAATTGAGTCGGGAGTTAGACACGTCTCTCGAGTTCAAATCGTCATCGTCATCCTCGATGGTAAGGTCCACAAGGTCATGGGGCTCTAGTGGGGGTGTAGGCTCGACGCCATCGACATCTTCCAGCCATTTCCTGATCCAGTCGTACAGAACTTTGACAACGCATGGAGGAAATGCATTGCCAATCTGCTTCTTGATTCCGGGAGCCACGAAGCGATGCCACACGGGGAAGCCTTGCAGGCTTGCGTATTCTCGATAGGTGAAATCCCGCGTACCGCTATAATGATAATTCTGTCCCCCCGAAGTAGTGATCGTTCGGGGCAAGATGCCATCAGCGTCCCACGGTCGCTCATCGCGTCGCATCACTCCTTCTAAGTCGTGCAATGTGCAGCCTGGGTGAATCCGGTTAAGGACCTGACGTACTGACACGTACGGCAGCAAACCGTCGACAGGCTCGCTACTGTGAGTCGCTGGAGGAAAATCTGGGAGCTTCTCACCTGGGCAGGCGCCAATCATGATTAGGCGGCGGCGGGCTTGCGACAGTCCCAGTGTAGCTAGATTGACAACCTTCCATCGGACGGAATAGCCATGACAAGTGAAGCCTTGCACTAACGCGTTAAAAAAACACTTATGCCGATTGTGCAGAAGGCCAAAGGTTTGCTCAAGGGTAAAAATTCTCGGGCGTATCTTCTTGACCAGTTCGGTGCAAGAATACAGAACGGCGATGTTCTTCTCGTCGTCCTTTCCATCCACGGTGTGTGCGGGAGAGTAAGGCTGGCATGCTGGTGACATGTGAAGCATGTCATGCCAATGTGACACATCGATCTTGTCCAAGAAGTCAAAGATGTCCATCTCACACAGCTCGACCCCATGCCTGCTGAAGTTCTTCTTGTATGTTGCGCATGCACGGGGCCAGTGATCGACAGCCACCTCGAGCTGGAATCCCGCCATCTGAGCTCCTCGGGAGAAGCCACCACCACCGCTAAATGTGTCCACCACACCATAACGCTGTCCAGGGATGCGTTTGTGTAGGATTGTGGAACCGGACTCAGCTTTTCCATGTTCATCATCTATATGAACAGGTGGGGGACGCAGAGTGCCGCCCGGGGTATACGAGCCGCCTGGAACTTTGCCTCCTCGCCAAGCGTTCAAACGTACACTCTCCGAGTAACGATACCGTGCTTTTTTAACTTCATCTTCCGTTATGTGAAGGTATGCCCACTCGCACGGGCGGGATGCCGCTCGCTTTGCTGCATCGGCGTAGTAGATTATGTGTTTCCAACGACAGACCAAAGGGCCCTTGTCTTCGATTTGCTCTACTGTCGTATAGATTTCTGTGTCGAAACGGCACTCGGGAAAAGGCTTGTTAGTAATGCGCAAGTGGCGTGGCCGGATTGGTGCGATGTCGTCAGGGTTGAGTTCTAGACTTGCTTGTATCTCGTAGTCTCGAGGATCATCTTTGTCTATCTGGTAGATCAAGCACACCTCATTGAGCTTTCGTGGAAGCGACCCACCAAGATTTCTCGTCCTTGTACAAGGCACACCTCGAAAGATAACGTCGCCGCGTCCACCGGCAAAGGGTACATGTATGGACACGATCTTGAAAAATGTTGCCTTAAAGGGTCCGACTGGCTGAACGAGCTCGACAAGGCTGCCGGTCTTGACCTCTATGTTCTCAGTCAAAGCATAAGTGCTGACATGGTCATGACTTGCGCCTAGGAATCCGTTCCGGACTGGGTGAAAAACGCCTTGCTGGGGATGGGGCTGACTGTCCTCTGTCAAATCGATGTAGTCCATTTCCCCGAAACACTGCTCTTCGAACTTGACCTCATTTGCAGCTTCAGAATCATAGTCCTCATCTTTAATGAAGATCGGCTCGCGACAATATTGAGAGCCTTGCTTGTGACGGTTTTCACCAAATGCATCTCGATGGTCGATTAGGTTTTCGGTCCCGTGTAGAACTTCGTCGGCACCAAGCTCTACAGGATCGTCTATACGGGATCCTCGCTGGCTGTTGCCTGCCATTTCCGAGGAAGGACGAGAAAATTCGGAGAATCAGGCGAGGTCGAAAAGCTCCTGTGAGAGTACAAATTGTTTTGGCAGAAATGATTCCCGATCAGATATAACCGAGAAAGCAATCAGTGTTTTGTTTGAGAGTTTTCTGGGGAATTTGCTGAGGGGATCTTGGTTCGGAATATGAAAATGTGAGCAGAGAGGGACATCTGAGGGGCTTGGGACCAAGGGTGGCGGGTGGCAGAATCTCTTTCCAACTTTCTGCCTGCTGTATGAAGTGGTTTCAGAAGGTGAAAATGCTTTCATAGATCCAAAGCAAGATAAATGCCCGTGATAACGCTCATGGCAAGATAACCTCAAGGACAAAAAGTAGCATTTGTCTTGAAGTGCCACCAGTTCCGTGGTTAGTGCTTAGATGAGTGAGAAGAAAGACTAAAGACACATTCACGACACGTTCGGTCACTATGATTCACATTGACTTCTTATTCAAAGCTCATATGGAGAACATGTGCTCTAACAGGTCAAAAGAACCAGCCATGTCAATCGGTACAAGCTGGTTGTAGCTGGAAGCTGCCCAGGTGCTGTCACACATCGGGAGGGGGTCCAATGGAAATCTAGCAGCAGTCTGAATTAGGCATGTGGTTCACGCTAGAGGATCAGCTAATCATCCCCCACCTCGGCTGGACTGTCACCGATTTTCCGTCCAAGCTAATCTTTTCTTCACGCGTCTTGCAGTCTTTGTCCTCCCAAAAAAAAAAGTTCCTCTTCGCAACAACCACATCGACGCCAAAGGAATCACCACCCCTCTGCAAACACCTCAGACTCTTTGCTACCTAAGAGGCAAGTGTCTGACTTATGCTTTCATCGTGAAATGTATCTAATCAGATAGGATTGACTCAACTGTGCGTGCTTTCTGGGAAAGCATGCTCCACGGAGTTAAAGCAAGCTTCTATCCGGTGAGTTCCCAGAGTGAAATTTCTTTGTCGAAGCTGTTATATGATGATTCCCTTTTTGAATAATGGACGACTTCTTAGCATACAATGCAGAAAACCAGGTTCTTTTCTGAACAGCAACAAATCTGAGCCTCTTGTCTTGATAACCAATTTGATGATCTTGGGCTGACCTTTTTGCAATTTTAGGGCATCATCTTGACCCCTTTCCGCCTTTTTGAGTGTAGATGACACAATGACCACAATATCAACACTCCACTTCCCTGATGAAATTGATCGCACACAAGACTTCGAAGTCGTGGTCCACGAGGCTTTATGACAGCACTGAATACTGGCATGTTATGAGCAGACAATGAGCTTGCTATAATATGATGGGTAAGTAACGCTAGCGAGGGCAGCAAAGGAAGGTGGCCCACAAGCGGTAGAACTTTGGGAAAGGAATAGATGACGATGAATATCGGCATCCTTCCACACCGCCTGATTGCTCTGGAACAATCTCGGGCTGGTATCTTTATACTGTCCCATCGTGTCCCTTGGAAATTTGCGACTGTAGTAGAATTTCTGGAAGCGGTTCATGGGGCATGTCTATCCATTCTTTAACACTTGGCTGGCCGTTCGAGCACTGATTCCTTCAATGGCAGGCTGCTGGACTCTGGCATCATAGTCAATACATGGTGTACCTGTATTTTGATATACCTTTGGGTGCGTTGGTATCAGTAGCATCAACCTAGGTCTCTTAAGTTTATTATGAACCTCATACTAGAAAGTATGTCCTTTGAGATTCAATGGACAAGCCTGCTGAATTCGTTCAGAAAGCATGCGTCGGAAGCTCATTTGCTCATTGGCACTGAGGTGATTTAACTTTGGGCAGGTGTATGATGTCAGCAAGTCCCCACTTACAACGAAGGAAGGTGCAATCCTCACATCAACAGATTTTCGTCCCATCTCTGAGTAAAGCTCCAAATTTGTAGTTTCTGATTCACCTGATGGAAATTGTGTAGAGTTGTTAGCAGAAACCGTTCTATGTCCTTCTTTCCTTTCCGTCAGATCATCGACTGACAGCCATACAATGACCATTAGAGAGCAGCCTCATTTATTGTCAAGATCTCTCTCTTTACAAAGCAACTCTGTTCTCTTCTCATTCACGCTTATCTCATATAACAAATCATACACAGCTCCTATCTTGTCACCCTTCATCTGCGATTGAATCTTCTGGTCGACCAGGTGAACGGCTCAGTCCACTAACTCGTCGATGTGAAGAGGCTCGTCTAGTTGCCCTCCATCAAGATTTAGGCATAGGAAATCTCCAACTGTGAACAACTCGCATTTCCTGCACCATTTCTGAAGTACGACTACTTTCCCTTGATCGACATAACCTTGCAAGATGGCGCCACGCAAGGGCGCAGTGAAGAGTCAACAAGGAAAGAAGAAGCAATCTGGCTTTCAATTGCCTCATAATCTTGGGGCAGACAAATTGGGCCCTCAATCCACATCGCTGCTTGCATCGGAGCAATCTGAAGGCGCGCATTCATCATTTGAGGTGAATGCTGGTACTGGCCTGGCAATAACAACCACAACTAGACAGCTTCGTCCACGAGTTACCAAAGACAAACCATTGCCAACCTCTCTAAGCACTGGCAAGAGTGGCGGTTCTATGAAGAAGGCGAAGACTACTGCGCCTGCTAAAGCATTAAACAGTCAGCTTGGCTTCAAGGTCTCCAAACCACTGACGACACCGGATCTGAAAGGCGAGGGAGCAAACGATCTTACGGGTACCCAGAATTCCAATATAATTGAGAAGGACGCGCAGATTACGGCAGCGCCTGCTCCAACCAAGGAGGATGGAGACCACTTTCTTGTCGATCACCAAATCCTTGATGCAAGCATATCTGTCAAGCGTGAAGCTCAACATGGCCAAACTTTGCCTCAAGAGACAGCAGATGAGCAGGCCGAATCGACAAAGAAACGCTCCAGAGGAAAGACACAAAATCGAACGCCATATGAGAAGGAGATGAACGGCCTACCGTGGCATCAAACGCCGTTCCCTGACCTAGTCCAGCCCACGGCAGAGGCGTGCGAAGAGGTCCATAAGCTTCTTGCTGGACAGCTTATGAGGAAAGAGAATCGAGTCATCAGCCAGCCTGAGACCGTTCCACCGCCATCACTGGAGGTAGCTGGCTGTGGTGAGGTTCCCAACATACTCGACGCTCTAGTTCGCACCCTCCTCAGTGCTGCAACAACGTTCGACAATTCGGACAATGCACTGCAAAGCCTCATCGCAAAATTCGGAACGATCACAATAGAGGGACCGAACAGCACCAGAACTAATCCGGAAATCGTCATCAAAGATCAGATTGATTTCATGAAGATTCACCACGCTGATGTCAAAGCTGTAGAGAAGGCAATCGAGTGTGGCGGTCTGGGTGCAGTCAAGAGCAAATTCATCAAGGGAATTCTAAGCCAGGTGTACTCGGAGAATTTTCTCAGAGTCAAGGCTTTTCGGCAGGAGAAGCTCGATGGAGTGAAGCCCGATATACCAGGAGTCGATGCCCTCAATCAGGGCCAGAAAGACATGGAAATCTGGCTATGGGAGCATGGCGTCTTGTCCCTGGACCATCACTGCAGCCTTGACCCTGAAGCCGCCATGAACGAGTTTATCAAATTTCCTGGAATAGGGGTCAAGACTGCAGCGTGTGTCATTCTATTTTGCATGCGCCAGCCTTGCTTCGCCGTTGACACACACATCTGGAGGATGTGCAAATGGCTGAATTGGGCCCCTGCGAAAGCAGATCGTAACAGCGCTTTTGCGCACCTCGACGTTCGGGTTCCTGACCACCTCAAGTATGCCCTGCATCAGCTTTTCATATACCACGGGAAGAACTGCAAGAAGTGCAAAATCAGCAATGCCAAGTTGGAAGAAGATTGGGAGAACGAAGAGTGCCCGTTAGAGCACCTCCTTCAGCGGACTGAGAGAAAGAAGGCGCCAAAGCGAAAGCTGCAAGACGATGAGGAGCAGGTAATCCGCGCAAAGAAACAGAACAAGAAGGCGGAGGTTCCCGAGAAGGAAGAGCTAGATGTCAAGCCTTTTGCGGAGGAGGCTGGACTAGAGGGTCAGGTGGAAGGTGCAGATGCTGCGGAGGTGGTATTGAATCCAGAGGTCGAGGACTCGCTTTCTGCTGCAGTAGATGTATCTCATGAAGATGACACCGTTGCTGGTTAAGCCAATCAGAGTACGGGAGCACCAACACGCCATTGAAATGCTCAGGGCGTGGATCTTCGGACTTGAGTCTCAATTGATATTCTAGCTATCACGTTTGCCGGTCTGATGGGTCCAGGGGATAATGGTGAATAACTTGATGACATCATAGAGAGCTTCTTTCTATCAAGCAATCAATAAGAAGTCTTCTAGCAAGCGATAAAACTTGACATATCCGATTCCCAATGCGAACCATCCGATATGTGAATCAATAGGCTGCTCGTGGGTTTGTGTCTGTAGATATGGATTACTTAATGATGAAGCGACGGCACACGTGATGTGAGGCTTGGGCTTTAGATCAGCCCCACTTGCCGACTTAGTTGCCCTCTACTGGGGGTTTAATGGAGTCGACGCGCCTAGCAGAGTCAACGCGCGACGGCACAAAGGGCCAAATTTAAGCTCTGAATGCCTTCCAACAAGACAAAGCACATCGACTCCGCCAGCCTCATCGGAGTCTAATATTCCGTTGCGGTGCTCTCAAATATGCGGGAATGACTTTCAGTCATATTCTTGATCGTTTCTTTCCTTTTCCTTCCGTTGTACTCCATTCCGACACCCTCCCTCCCAACTTGATTCCTCCTCCACCTTGACGTTTTTGACACAATCCGAACCGACTCATCAAGCTCCCCGAATCCGAGACCCTTTACTCCACGAACTCGATCTTCGGCCCCCGAAACGTCGAGAGGCCTGCTAAGAGCTGCGTTTGCATCCCGTGTTCGTCACGGCATGACGACGCACGGTCTGGACGATGGCTTCACCGATTTATGATCGACTTTTGGAGTTGCATGGAATAATAGACGCAATCCCTGAGGAGAAACATCTCTTCTGCCCCAAGGTGCACGATGAGGACCCGGAGGACTACGACGATGCTAGCGTGCCCGGCTATCAGATCACGATCGAGGAGAAGACCCAGCGATTAGACGACTACCGTCAGAGATCCGAGCATGCGTTTTGGTACTGCCTCATCTTCGGCATTGCTAAGGAACAGTCGGATACGTGGCTTCCGGAATGGATAGATCGCTCAGAAAGTTACCTCACCAAGTGTGAGGTTTGTGCACGCAACTGGCAAATGCGAAGAAAGCCATTTCTCAAACAACTTAATGAGTGAGTCGACTATCTACTATTTGGTACCTAGAGGTTTCTACTAATATATCCGAGGGTGTTCGACGATGGCATAGTTTCAATCATGGAAACGAAGTTGAACGAGTTCGACAAGGTCCGAATCGATCGTGGTCTCTTAAGCGCCCAAGAATTCCTTAGCACACATGGACCTATGGGCTCCGGCAAACTCGCTAAGTACGATATGGCCGCAACATTAGCATTATACGAGGCCTTGTGTTGTATTCCCTATTTGGCTCTGCCGGAAAATCGACAGGTTTTCAACTATGTTTTCCAGAAAACGCAAGAGCGCAAGGTTCTCAAGTTGGGGTCTTCGGTTCTTCCTACCATGACCTTCTTCCTTTTCGAGGAAGAACCATATCGCAACCGTTTTGCTAAGACGGCATGGGAGCTTCTAGAACCTGAATGTCTCACAGAGGAACAGTTTGATTGGGCTGTGAATGAATTCCTTGCTAATGCAATTCAAACGACAGCAAGAGGCGGCGCGACTTTGAAGCAATTGACGCTTTTTTGGGAGGGCATACTGCTCATCTTAAAATCAATGGGTGAGGAAATGATACTTCATTCACTCAGGGGAATGGAGGTTCAGCCAGATATATATCATCTGGCAGTGATCTCCTTGAACAGTAATTCTGACGAAGTCCTATTTCTTGTTCTCAAGACTCTCCACCTCTTGATGAAGAAGTCATCGAGGGCCTTCTGGGCTGCTCTGGCAGACGTGAACCGCATCCAGATTCCGGAAGAGATTTTCAAGAGTGACGCATTTCGGCCACTACTTGCCAGGTCTCTGGAAGATGGCATGCGGGTTCTCGAAGCAGACATGTCCGTACCATTTTTGCCCATCTGGTTGAAGATGTTTATAAAGTCACTACAACCACATGAGCTTCCCGATGTTTGCGAATCCCTATGCTATCATCTATTCGAGTCTTGGAGAAGAGACGAAAGTATCGGGATTGCAGGTCAAACCGTCGCGACTCTTGCTGGACTGTATGTGCTTAAAAGCACATTGGAAGTATATCTTGACGACGAGTATCAGATCCAAGCTCGGATGTCGCTAATTTACGTCAACACCGTTCTCAATATGGTATTCAAGTACAAGGACATCATCGTGCGTGCCGCTGAGTTGAAGGAAACAGACACATTCAACGTTGGACTGTCCCAGGCTGCGATGTCGATAATAGAGACATCACTTGCTCTGGATGCGAAGGCAACGCGGATAGAATGGGCCGCCTTACGCAAGAAAAGCCCTGTCAATAGGACCATAGTGAGGAATTCCGCACATCTATGGGACCCATTCGTCGAGATGCTCGTTTTCTTTCCTGGTAAAGTCAAACTCGGCAAACTCATGCTGCTCGCCAGTAACGCGCTCTGTGGCGTCGAGAGATTCGAGCCTCCGAAGCGAGGAGAGGCAATGGACGAAGGCCGAAAGGCATTCAATGCCGACTTCGAAAAGACAGCGGAAGTCGTTGGGCGTATGATTGATCGACTTGGCGATTTCAATATTGCCGACTTGAACACGTTGATCTCTGACAACGAAGCCATTTATCCCATCATTGCAGCACTGATTCACGGCGAAGCCTCGATACGAGAAGCTGCGACCTCACTCATCAAATCCGCCACCGGCGAGGACCAACGGTCAGAAGCTGTGAGCAAGCTTCTTCAGGATTACTTTGCGGAGTTTCTCTCCGCATACTGCGATGTTGTCAAAGCGACCACATACGGAAAGGGTTCACTGAACCCATTCGGCCCGATGCCCAATATTTTGATCTACAACAGAGACATCCTTAATGGTCTCTGCGATACTACCGTGGGTGTTCTCAGATCCAAGTCTTTGTCCGCAACGGAACGTGCTGCTGTCATGAAGTGGTGGACAACTCAGTGGGAATGCCTGCAGCATGCATTTGCAAATACGAGACTTTGGGCCATTGAGCATGAGAGAAAGATGATGGAAGGGTTTGCCCGAGATGTCATGGAGCGTGCAGATGCTCTGCTTGCGCAGGATGGTGTTGTGGCTTCAGCACTTGGTGGACAAGCCCGAGGACAATACAGCGGTGATGCGAACATAGACGTAATGAAGACTCTCCTTGATCAACCTCGGAAGAACTCCCAAGGCATGATGGACATGTCGAAATTGCGCGACACATACCTTCTCGGACTGTGGGTCAAGACACTAGTCAAACTTCTTCGACGCTTGGCAGAATATGACATGAAGCTGGACGAGAAGTCCCTGAAAGTCATTCGCGATGTGTGCACGAAGAGGCCAGACGGCAAGTACATTGCCAACAGCAATCTTGATGAAGCTCAGAAAGCGGAGCTCTTGAAAGCGCTAGGAGAGGATAGCGACGACAGCGACTCCCTCGATTACATCGGACGCGTGGACAAACCGAAGAAGCAGAGCACCATTGATGCATGGTCGAAATCTGCGCCTTCTAGTACGGGTTCCGGCAGCTCTAGAGGTACAACTCCATCCTCCACCATTCGGACCAACCGCGATGATGTGAAGGAGCTTACCCCTAATGTGGATAAGTACAAAGCCACTCTCGACAAGATGAAATCGCGGGCACAGCCACTAAAACCCGACCCGAAAGCCATAGCGGCAAGCACTGCCGCAGTGCTGGAAGCAAGGCAAAAGGCGAAGGCAGAGAAAGCAATTCGAGACGCGGAGGCCATTGCGAAAGCCAAAGCGCTCCGCGGCCCATCGAAACTCGTTCAAGGCGAAGGTTCCGGGTTGCAGAACCTCACTGGTGTTCCGGGGAAAGACCACGCTCCGCAAAAGAGTGAGATTATGGTAGATAGTAGCTCCGAAGATGACGACGATTCAGAAGAGGAAATGGTCGTCTCTAGAACCAAGCGACCTGGGATGAGCATCCTTGATCCTGCACGGCGACGACGTGAATTGGAGCTGCTTCAGAAGGCTCGTGGGCCAGTCAAGAAGACCAAAGTTCAACGCTCGGCTAAGGACATGCGAGCTCGTCTCATTCCACCGATGGACGTCTTGCACCAAGCCATATTGGAATGGGATATCTTCCATGAAGGTAACGATCCGCCGAATGGATATAAGTGCGAAGCAGTATCTTCATCTTACCTTACGCCGAGGGACTACAAGCAGACATTCTTCCCATTACTGATCTATGAGGCTTGGCGATCTTTTGTCACGTCGAAGGAAGAATCGACGTCGAAGCCTTTTGGGATACGGGTTATCAACCGCATGTCTGTCGATAGATTTCTTGAAGTCACAACCTCAATGCCTTCCAAAGCAAATAAGGACCTTAGCCTTTCAGAGGGTGATATTGTCCTTATCTCCAAGGCTGACAATCCTCTAAACGAGAAAGAATCTCCGCATTGCCTTGGACGTATCTGGAAGACCACGTACAAGAAAGATACCCTTGAAGTTGCATACCGCCTCAACTCGGTGAACAATCAACTCCTCCCTCAGTTGATCCCTGGTGCCGAATTTCATGCTGTCAAAATCACCAATATGACCACAATCGAACGTGAGTATGCGGCACTGGAGAGTCTGCAATACTACGATCTCATGGACGAGATCATCAAAGCCATACCGTCACCTATTCTCAAGTTTGGAGAAGAAGCAGTGGGCAATGTTATGAAGAATTATGACCTGAACCCAGGCCAAGCCAAAGCAATCTTAAATGCCAAGGAGAATGATGGCTTCACCCTCATTCAAGGTCCCCCAGGAACTGGCAAAACGAAGACAATTGTCGCAATGGTAGGAGCTCTCCTGACCGGGCATGTGGGCAACAAATCCGCAGCTGTTGCAATCAAGACTCCTCATGTAGTAGGACAAGCTGGTGCACCACAGGCGCCATCAAAGAAGCTCTTGATTTGCGCGCCCAGTAACGCCGCTGTTGACGAAATCGTGCTACGACTCAAGGCTGGCGTCAGGACCTTGAATGGCTCATCTCACAAAATTGAAGTGCTCCGCCTTGGACGTAGTGATGCGATCAATGCGAGCGTTAGAGATGTCACTTTAGACGAGCGCGTCAAAGCCGAAATGGATGCTGCAATCAATAAGAACGGATCAGTCAGTGACCGCGAAAAGATGCATAAAGAAGCCGGAGAGATCAAGATTCAATTGAATAGCCTTCGGCCGATGCTGGAAGCATCCAGAGCTGAAAATGATCGTGATGCCACGATGAAACTTCAGCGACAGTTCGACGATTTGAAGAGACGCCAAGCACATATTGGTGCGAAAATCGATGCAGACAAAGACAGCGGCAACACGTACGTACGAGAAAGCGAAATCAAACGCAGGCAGATTCAACAACGAATACTTGACTCTGCTCAAGTCCTTTGTGCGACACTCAGTGGAAGTGGCCACGAGATGTTCAAGAATCTTAATGTTGAATTTGAGACTGTCATTATCGATGAGGCTGCTCAAAGTATTGAGCTCAGTGCTCTGATTCCACTCAAATACGGATGCTCCAAGTGCATCCTTGTTGGAGATCCCAAACAGTTGCCGCCCACGGTCCTTTCCCAGTCTGCCTCTCGTTATGGCTATGATCAGAGCTTGTTCGTGCGCATGCAGCAGAATAAGCCTGAAGATGTCCATCTCCTAGATCGCCAGTATCGTATGCATCCTGAAATCAGTTTATTCCCCAGCACCGAGTTCTACGAAGGACGCTTGGTGGACGGAGACAATATGGCGCGTTTGCGCCAGCAGCCATGGCACAGTAGCGAGCTTCTGGGGCCATACCGTTTCTTCGACGTTGAAGGTGCTCAGGAGCGAGGAGCGAGAGGCAAGTCCTACGTAAACTACAAGGAAATACAGGTTGCGATGCAGCTCTATAGCAGATTCCGAACCGATTACTCGGGTTATGATCCCAAGGGAAAGATCGGAATCATCACCCCGTATAAGTCGCAGCTCATGGAACTGCGTCAACGGTTCACAGACAGATACGGCGAGGCTATTACCGATGACATCGAGTTCAACACAACAGACGCCTTCCAGGGTCGTGAATGCGAGATCATCATCTTCTCTTGTGTCAGAGCTAAAGAAACCGGCGGTATTGGATTCATGCAGGATATTCGACGTATGAATGTCGGTTTGACTCGAGCTAGGTCCTCTTTGTGGATTCTCGGAGACTCTCGAGCCCTTATGCAGGGTGAATTCTGGGGCAAGCTCATCAAAGATGCGAAGGCTCGAGATCGATATACAAGAGGAGACGTGCTTTCTCTGTTGAGGCAGCCAGGGAGGAAGGTGGCCTTCCCGAATGCTTCATCGGCTGTTCAAAACGGAAAACTCAGCCAAGCCCCTACGCCCCCTGTCAAGGGAATTGATGAAGACACGGACATGCCAGATGCGCCGACATTTGCACAGCAACCTTCGACCTATGCGATGGCAAATCAACCTCCGGCAGCCCAGCCACGGGGGTCCATTGGAGGATTAAATGAGCGCGGAGAGGCTCTGGGAATTGCGCCGCGCCTCGATGGTGTGCCCCAAATCCGCACGCCTGCGTCTGCAGAACCTGGAGCCTCCAAGAAGAGGATGCTTGCAGGGAGTGACGAATCTGTTCCATCAGCTAAGAGGGTAGGTGATGCATGCAAGGAAGACACCGACAACGAGAAAAGTACAGGAATGCTGAGTCTACTTTACCAGATACCACAAGGGAACAGTCGGCCGATCCCGACTGGACCAAAGCTTGAGACAGTCAGACCTCCTAAGCCACCCAAGAAGCCAACGGATCCTTCAGCGATGGAGACGTTAGGCCTGGTACCTCCAACGCGTCCGCCTCCGGTGATTAACTCCAACGTCGCGGCTATTCCTAAACCCCCCAGCAAGCCTATTCCTCCTCCAACTGGCCCTAAAGTGAGAATCCTAGCTTAGAAGAATGAGTTTCCTACATGCTAACCTAATGTGCACAGATGGCCCTCCCACCAAAGAAGAGGGCACCTGCAGACCCTTTCATTCAGAAGAAGAAACCCACTAAACGATAAGAAGCATACATCATTTTGTATTACTACTGCCTGGATTACGTTACAGGCGTACACTATGCATTTGCGGCGGCGTATTTCCAAGGAGAACATCAATGACTACAGAGAGGACAAAGAGATCTCAATGATAGCTTAGCATAGATCCGGCGTTGGCGGCAAGGGCACTACCCTTAACAGCCCATCATTTCCCTGACGCTTTGTAGAAAATTGTAGCGCCATTGACGGCGCATCATTGCGGGGGATCTGCGATATCGAGCAACGTAGACTCGCATGGCAGGAGTGGAGTTGAGGTGAAGTGGGAAGCAGACCCAGTGGCAAGTGGCAGGGAACGCCGAGTGACATGCCACAACTGAAGCACAATGACTCCCAGACCATCTGGTCGTCTCTTCACTGCTTTGTGGAGAAATTATGACACTAATTCACCACATGAGTCTCCTCTCCTCGGTATCATCCTTCTGCCAATTATGGTACTGGTCTCGTGGCCTATCTTGGTAGCCAGGGCTGGCATCCATCATCCATCCTACCTGTGCTCGAGCCGTGGTGGCATGAGATTCCCGGGGGGGAGCTAGAGTCAAATAGCATATAAGCTATAGCCTAAATTATGGGCAGAGTGGCGAGATCTCAGATCCCACACTAAGGAAGACCCCTAGCCTCTAGGTAACCCCGCTATCGCCGTTCGTTCTTACTTCTGAAGAGGGATGAGTTGAGACGATCATTTTGATGTTGACCTAAAACTCTAAAAACATGTGATGCAGATTTCATGATAGTTCAAATGCTTATAACATTGTGAAATATCTATTTAAATGCTCACTGTCTAAAGCGCCAATTGCAAGAGTGCTCAAGTCCCGTGGTGGGGGATCGGTTGCGTCGCCTCGACGAAGTCATGCATATAGTCGGAGTTTTGACCTGTCAATCCACCACCTTGCCCTGTTAGTTCTACAAAGCGACGCTGGCGGCGCTGACAACAACAGGATTCAACTCTATTTTAGCTTATTTTCGGCACATTAGCCAGTCTCGATGGACTATTACTCGAAGTAGGATTCTAATGGATACCGGATGGAGAAGCTCGTAGTAATTATTGAACGCTATATGAAGGTGACATTTGTTATAGCAACCTACTATTGAAGTTGCACACCTAATAAGATTTCCGGGGCAGACTGATTAATAACAAACATCAGCAATAGAGCACCTATGTGTCTTTCTTTCTCAGTAGGAGCCGACCCGTTGCATGTTGGGCATTATAGTCGTTAGTCCATACAATATCACTCAAAAACCGTTGCCAATAGTTGACCTGATACCAAAAGATGACACAGGGAGACTCATATTCCATTGGTTCGAGTTTCAACGCCACGAGCAAGCGGACATACACACAGGCTCCGTCAAGTCCAACAAGTCACACTCGCTAATAAGCTCAGATATCTCTGCCGGCGGTAGTCAACTCGACCAATTCTTAGTAATAACCTTCTTCCCTTCAAGAATGCCACTCGTCATACACCCAAACGTCAGCTGAGAGGTTACTGCTGAATCGGAAAGTTCTATAGCTTGGATAGACTGGCAGGTATATGTTTTTGGTTGAAATGTATACTCAACAGGCATTCGCAACTCCTTTTTCTTTAGTGTTCCACATATATACCTGAACTAAATCACATATTCCCTAATACTATAAATACGTTTTGATGTCCTTTAGGTTAAACTTTTCAACTCTTACACGCCAAACCTTCTGGAACACTTGTGTAATATATCACACCATAGTAGCGGCAAATCTTTAGCTTGGACCCCCGGGAAGGGTATAAGGCACCCTGACTCTGAGACTATTGGAAGGATCACGACTCTGGCCACACGTGATGACCGGGTTGAATTTTGTTGCGCGGCATCTTCGGAACATGCTCATGATGAAACTTCTTCCAGCTACACATTATATGGAGGTGGCCGACACGGAGTTGCCGCCGGACAGAGGGCTGCTTATGCTCCTAGGGGAGTGAACTAGCTCGACGACTCGACATGGAGGAGACAAACTTCCTGGCATCAAGTCGGTACTAGGAGCTTTCTCCTTCCGTTCGTAGGCACAACATCCTAGTGATGAATAACGAGACCATGAGATTATGGGGGAGAGGCAATGAGACTGATCACACCGGTTTACTTTTAATCGTGCGGTCTTGGCTTGCCGAAAGTTGTCATGCAGACAATACATCACGGCGCTGGTTGGTGATTAAATACTGCTCGAGGGAGGCGAGAATTCGGAAACAATCTTCATTCAAGATATCATTATATCCTTAATGTTTCGGCCTAACCGCCAGTATGAAGATACTTCAATATATTTTGCCATTGCTATCTTTGGCGGCTGCTCTACCACAACCTCCTCGTGCCCCGTTGGGAGGTCGTCAGATCACTGACCCTGATCGCCTAGCTCAACTCGAGATCCAGCATAAACATGTACTCGACAGTCTGCGGAATGGAAATATTGTACCTGTCACAGTTGCAGACTTGGGAGCCATTGAGTTTGGCACCAACGAGAAGAGGGTGTTTCAAGTCCTTGGTCTAGCTGGTGTGGCCCTGATCGAAGCCATTGGCGCGGGTCTGGGCGAGCGACTATTGACCATTTCCAGTGCAGGGAAAAATGTTATCTGGCGCATTTCGGATTACTGCCGTGCCTACTTTGAAACACACGCTGGTGGCGAGGAGAACATCTAGACCTTTGCGTGTGGTTCTACGGGTGTCACGCAGGAGAATCCTCTCAAGTAGGTCCCTCTCCCCCTTTTCAGGCCTCTACTAATCAGGCTTCATACAATAGCCAAGGATGGATCGACCCAGAGCACACCGACCCTCCTGCTCTCTACTTCGAGGATCGGACTCCGTCAGGATATACAGCGTCCAGTTCACCGCTACAGACACAGTTGCATGGGGTGAGATTAACGATACTGAGAAGTGCTACATCTTGGGCCTCTGCAATCCGCAGTACGTGTTCTATCGTACCGGCTATAATATTCTCCTTAACACCTGGCGTAAGTGCCGACTGCATTTCACCACTGTTATGAGGTTCGTCCTGATCAGTACTGCAATGGATAGAGTCCCAGGGTGAGGTGAGCGCCTGTCAGTCCTCCCAGGGCGAGGACTGGAAGCTCTTGTGCCTGTCAGGCGTGGTGGACCAGTTCCCGTCAAACAGTATCAAGTGGGGAGGCAACTGCGCAATTCCCTGTCTTGGCGACGAGGGCGACGGATACAGTACTTCCCCAAAGCAGGATGCCAAAATCATGATTGCGGGAGATTCAATCTCGCATGGGATGGAGGGTGACTGAACCTGGCGTTGGAGGCTATTTGAGTGGTGTGGGTGTAGACCCTCTGAGACATTGACGACTTGCCGCTGACCATCGATTTACCTCCAGTGAATCATCTCGTTTACCAGCCGCAATTCGTCGGTCCATACTACGGAACACATGGACCGGAACCTCTTACTGTATCGCAGCCAGACAAGCTTCTCTTCCCCGACGAAGCACCAAGGTCGGATCCGCCAGCGGTAGTCGGTGACTATGCCGGCGGTGTGTCTCCGGACTTTGCCAACACGGCCGGTCATGTGTCGATTCTCCCTGATATTATTGCTGATGAACCTTCCATGATTTCACTTGCCTAGCTAGAGAGCCGGTGAACGCGTAGTCCTGATTACGATATAGATGATCTACTACCGGTATGCGAGTAGAGAAGCCCGTCTAGCATTCAGCTCGAAGACGCCCATTGGATAGCTTGGAAGAAGGTTGCATCCGTGTTCCATCCTACCCGTCCGTGGTGGACCAAGATTCCCGTGGTTGAGCTAAAGCTAGTTACCCACTGGTGGGATGGGCGAGTTGGGGCCAGGCTCTCAGATCCCGCACTAATGAGACCCTAAGCAGTCCCCTAGCCCCTGCGTTTTCCCACCATCCCGGTGCTCTCTGTTTTGGCAAGCACTCCAGCCCCCTGGCCCCCCTTCGTTCACACCCATGAGCCATCGTCCGTTTTGATCGATAGCAGCGTCGCATCAAACGCTCGACTGTTCCTTCTTCCCGGCTTCTCTCTCTGAATTCTCCTATTCTTTTCTGCATGTCATCATCTCCGCACCCTTGCAAGTTGTTGCTATTCTGCTTCTAGGGGATTTTCCAAATGGCGCAACGTTGCGATCCGCGTCGTCGGGACACAGCGCTGCTGCTCTGGGGATCGGCTTCAAACAATAGCGTGGCGTGGCATGGCATGGTCACGGTAGCTGGATCGCTGCTGCTCGACTACCGCGCTCGATCGACGGACTGGGCGGCGCGGTGCTGGACTACTGCATCGTAAGAGCAACAAGTGATTTTGCTGAGGGTCTCGCTCTCGGAATAGTGGGCATCAGAGTCGCGAGCTGGTGGGCTGTGGATTACTTCTCGAGATGCCCTCCTCCACCGAGTCCACTCGTCTTGTCAGAGCTGACAAGGATCAGACAGCGAACCCCTTACGCTAGAGCATAATAGTGGACCACCCAAGCTGCGCTCCGTCTCTCTTGCATCGGACACCACCACGGCCTTGCCTAAGATTTGCCCTCCCAGAGGCCATTTACAGCGCTGTTCCTGAGCGGCTTTGGCCTGGAGCGCTCGTCCAAGGACGAACACCATCCTAGACCCCGGATCGCGTCAAGGGTCGCCATACAGCTAACGTCACTTAGTGCTCCTAGCACAGACGCATGCTGACGGATTTGGCAGCCGTCCTCGCCGCCGCTGTATCCTCCACAAGCCCACGAGCCCACCCGGTGGGCAGCGGGCTCTACGGCGCGGCCCAATCCCGTCGAGAAAGCGCTCCCCCAGACAGGCACTGGTGTTCGAGCCAGGAGGACTAGCTCTACGCGGTATGGCAATAGGCGGAACAATGGCCTTGTTTCTGTCCCTAGGTTGCCTTGCAGTAAGTAGCAGGCTCCAGGCTGGATGCTGCGGTGGGAGCTACCTGCTCCATCGAATTGAATTGACAGAGAGTCGAGGAGTGTCAGTGCCCACCCGGTCGGTCGTTGCAGCTGCTGCAGCGCAAGGACCTCGCTTCTCATATGAGGACGATCGGCCAGCCTTCTATCACGTTTCCATTTCTATTTTTCTTCTTTGTTCCTGCATTTCGTTTCGTTTCCTGGGTCTCACCTCTCTGCACGCGCGCGTGGGCGGCTGTTTCGTCATTGAACAGCTGTGGGCAAGTCTCCCACTGGCGGTTGGGCCAAGGTTGCCATAGTCGTCTGTTTTCCGAATGTTGTCATTGTAGGAAATGCTTGATTGGGGACACGCTCTTTTGATCGGCACTTCTGAAGAGCCCTAGCACCTTCATTACAGATCGCGACTGAGCTCGCGACGCGTACCAGCTCGATCAGACGACGCCACTCAACTCCAGGTACTGGTCTACCGCCGAGTCGACGAAAAACCCAATTGCACAAACTCTACGCTCTGCATTACCCACTGAGTGGGCAGCTTGACCTGTGACAAGCAGCAAGAAATCAAATTGCAATTGCCGGTCTCCATATTGCGTGGCAATGGATCGCAATTCGACTCGCCTCCGGCCCGGAAGGCAAACTATGCGACACGATGATGGGTCAGACACCGACGGCTCTTTCATGACGGCCGTCGAGTTTCTCTCAAAGACAGCACCGCCTGATCCTATGTCATCACGGCCGCCGTCGTCAAGGGTCATCTCGATGGGCGCCATGCATCCACAATCGCGGCAGCAAGAGCCTCAGCAACTGGAGACTACCAAGCCGCCCCTCCAGCAAGTGACCGAGGAACAGAGCGAGGAAGAGGATGGCCTCGACGAGTTGATGGAGTTCGTCCGGAACAAGACGCCGCCACCTACCAACTACATGTCGATTCCGGACTCATTCTCGACCACGTCTGCCTCGTCTAGTGAGCACAGGAAATGGTGGCGCTTCAAGATGTTCCGGCGACGCAAGAAGCCCACACCAAAGAAACACCGTCCCCCGCCGATAAAGTTACCAGACACAGCGATTGCTGGAACGACTGTCGAAGGATATCGTCACATTGCTATCTCGATCCCGATAGAGCACGCGCACTTGGGCCCCGAACCGCGCCGAAAGCGCCGTTCGAGACGCAAGGACCAGTCGGCTCCGAAACCCGAGAAACTCATCCCGGCCAAGGCAGGCTCAGTGAAGACTCTGGTATCTGACCGAGGGGTTGTGACGGTATTGAAGCCCGTCGCTGAGGATCGCGAGTCCATGTCCTCAAAGTCTTTCGAGCACATGTTCTCGCCCAGTGGAATGCGGCCAGAAACATCTCGAAGTAGGAATTCCATGTCAAAACCACTTTACGAACCGATTGATTCCCCCATCTACCCAACCATACCAGACATCCCAGAGGAACTTCCTGAGTATAGCTCTAGACCGAGGACTGCGGATCCTGGCCACTCACGCCATAAAAGTAGCAACTCCATGCAGAGCTTCTCATCGGCACCAAACTCACCCGTAACGAAGCGCGCGTCCGCCAAGCCGTCAAACACACGTGGCTCTAATCCAAAGGACCTCGTGGATGACTTTATCAAGAAGCACAGTCATCACCGCCGTGAGTCATCAGGGGACATTGTCCAGCAAGCGGATTTTCTTGAGCGGCCTACATCTAGCCGAGCCGTACTGGGCGGCACTGAGCCTGTTGCCCATGACAAACGCTCAAGCAAGCGGTCTTCACTGAACACGATAATCGCGCGCGAGCCAAGGGCAAGTTCGAGCAGAAACAGTGTTGCCACTATTGTTCCAGCGAGCAGGTCGAAAACGAGCCTCCAAGAAGACGAGGTGGAGCAAGGAAGGGGTGTGAGTCCTCTCACGAAAGAGAATCTTGCTCGGGCGTCGCTGGAGCGTCGTATATCTAGTCTTTCGGGGCAGGAAAAGAGTCAAGAGCTAGAAGAATCAGCCTTTGAAGCGTCTATCTCGATGCCGGAGGATGTACATCGCGACATCAGCGAGGCTTTCAAGATCGTGGAGAGGCTCGTGGAGTCGCAGACGCCCACGGAAGTCCCGAGAGCCAAGACACGAGCATCATCCATCGTAGACGAGCTCCGACCGACTTCTAAATGCTCCAACTCTACTTTCACCCCGATCATGGTTGTGGCAGATGTGCAACCGGAAGTCCCACAGCCAACTGTTGACCTGACTACCTTACGAAGCAAGATTTCGCAACTACAGATATCAGCTCAGCCTCAAGCTCTACGGCCTATTTCTCCCGCCACTTTTGCCAAATCACAGCCCAACAGCCGGCTCTCCAGTCTCATCAGTGCTGCTGCCAGGGTTCCGACTCCCCCTCGCTCTCCGCAACTGCCGCCTGAGCCACCATCTCCCGTGGACAGCGCACCGCAACCAATACCGTTTGACAGGACTTCACTAGCGCGCCGAAGGGAATGGGCAGCCGAGAGGGAGAGAGAACGAGAAGACAAGCAAAGGGAACGACAGCGAGAGCGTTCTCTCTCGCGACCCCAAACCGCGCGAGCAAGCATGTCGCTTCCGCCCAAAAAGCAAAGCAAGAGTCGGAAGCGCTATTCGCTAGGCGCGACGAGTGAGGCCGCGCACAACCACCCTCAGGAGGAGCCACGAGGACGCTACGTGCACTCGCGGGACAAGCACGTCATTGAGATGGAGAGGAGGCTGCGACGCCTCGAGCGGGACGGGAACGCATGGCTTGGCGCCATGATGCCGCTGCTCAACAACCTGAACCAAACGCTGGGGAAGCTACAGGATGAGGAGGACTACGAGTTGAGCAGGAAAGAATGGGGCGATGGATACAGGGATATACCCGAGCTCGAGTCCTTCCGTGCGCGACCGACTTACCAGTATCAACATCAGGAACAGGAGGAGGAAGACGAGTTCACCAGGCCTACGAGACGACCCCACACAGCAGACCCGAACCGCCACAGACGCCTGTCAATGCAGAGCGATTTCGAGCCGCGGGGCCGGAGCTTGAGGAGCCGCAGCCGCCAGTCGCAGGCCTCTCGCCAGTCCTGGGCAGGTGGTCCGCCGCCCATGGCGAGCATGTCGAGTAGCAGAGACAGAGGCCGCCGCATCTCGCCGTATAAAATGCCCCTGCACGAGGAGCCCGAGGAGCCGAGCTGGCACCAGCGCGACGAGCGCAGGCGGACGGTGGGCCAGGCGCCGCGGGATTTGTCCGAGTTCAGACGCAGCGCGGCTGGGTTCCGGAGTCGAAGCCGAAGTAGCAGCGGCAGCGGGGAGAGCATGGTCCTCGGCGGCGGCGGACTCGATAATCTCGAGCCGCTGATGCGCGAGCTCATGGGCGGCTCGCGTCTGGACCAGCAGACTCCTGGAGATAGGCGCACGCCGCTGGAGGATGATCCTGAAGCAGTGTTTGCGATGTTTTGAGAGCGACAGAAGAGAGGTGTGCGTGAAAGTGTGTATCAGTGTACAGTACGGATAATTTGATGAGCGTCTCGATCTCAAGTCATGAAGCATGTTATGTAGCAATGAGAGCGCATATTGAACCACGTAGTTGTCAGCAGGGGCGATGTGCGGATCTAAATGCTTAAATAGAGTGCCAATATACTCTCCGCTACTCTCGGGGATGTCAGATTATTCCTACAGTTCAATACCTTTTCCTCAAGGGGCCCAGGTCGCGTTGACATTGACTTATTCCTCATGCACACAAGTTATCATCCCTCCAGGGCTCCGTTAGGCACCAACGCCACATCAATTTCTTGCTTTTTCGTTGTCCCACCATCGTAGCCATACAGCAATGGCTCAGAATGCCATTCTTCCATATCCTTCATCAACCCCTAAGCAAATATTTGGAGATTGAAGTCTACTTTTATTATTCATCGAAACCATCGCTTTGCCCAACATGGTTGTCGACTCAGCCACTAGGCGCCGAGTCTATGTTTATTGCCGGCCCATATTCACCAGCGGCAACAACGCCCAGCTGCGAAAGCGAAAGAAAATAAAGCAGGTGATCAAGGCGAATAAACGCTTGTTGCAGTCTTTGTTGGGTGATATGAGCGAGAAAACGCTGGTTGAGACCCTCCACGACCTGCTCAATAAGAACATTTTCTCTTCCGAGTTCTGCGCCAAGGTTGAGTTCCCATCACTCTTTCGCTCTTCACCGCTTCGTGAAGTCCAGCGTCAAACATCAGAGTTGAATGCGGCTCGCTCCACGGCGGTAGTGCTGGACGAGATTGCATCTCAGGATGGGGAACGACAAAGTCTGGAGATTGTTGAGGAAGGACCAGTAGATGGTGTATACTTAGACTCGGCGGGCGACATTGGTGCGGAAGAAGATGTTCCTGGTGTGTTAACCTTTCGAAGTTCTCGGCTGTTCCCTGATATTGACACGATAACATCTAGGAATTCTTGTTGAGAAGCCTTCTGCTCCAGAGAAACTTCCCTCGCTCTATCCGTCCTATTTGCCATACCAGGCTCAACACCTGATTTTTAACAAAACGCAGCAGGTCCTTGAAGAATGCTGCTTTGAGTTTGCAGCTAACGTATTGCCATCGGTTCTCCAGCAGAAGAAATGGGAGTGCCCAGCCGCTGTGGAGCTTACTCAATGGACAAAGCTGTTCCGCTCGAAACAGACCAAAAGTCGTCTCCAAGGCCATTTTGTAGATATGCACACCGAAGAGTTCGAAGAAGTGCTGACACGGGTGGCTGAGCTCCGACACACTGCCGTTCATCGACTGACTACGACAGCCAGAGGCATTAGTCGGCTCCTCGAGTCCTCCGTCAAACTCGCGCAGGCACTTCACGATAACCTACGTGCCGCACAGCTCCAAGAACTGCTGTCAGACGTAGATAGTCAGATCCAGGCTATGGAGCTTTACAAGAACGTTTTGGAAGACACAACATCTCGAAAACTTGAGGAAATCCAGCGAAAACGCGAGGAGCTGGACAAAATGGAGAAAGACTTGGTTGAGGGAATGTTGACGGATGATACGGATCGTAAAATCCTTATTGGACGGCTCCTGGAGGAGTCTGTTACTCATATATTTAGCAAGCAAGAACAAGGTCTGAAAAGAGAGGGAGAGGAATGTGAGGACGAGGAGAATGGCGAGAACGAGAACGACGATGACGATGACGACGAAGGCGAAGATGAGGACGAGGATAAGAAGGATCCCGATACATTGATCAACTGCACAAACTGAGGTATTCTTTTCCCTTCACTGACTACATTCTAGCACAATCCAGTTTCTAAGTCTCAATTTGATGTCGCCTATATGTATCCACGGATTACCCAATGTGTCGCTCAAATGTGTTGTACTAATGCTTTTTGCTATCAACCCCACGGCTGCTTGAGTTCTTCCTGATATGAGAAAGAGACAGTGTATCTCTACAGAGAAACGCTGCTAAAGCCCTTAAATAAAAGGGCGTATTAGGATCACAGCACCGATTGCGCCAAGTTTGCGTACAACTGCAACGGCCCATGTTACACCTCTCTGATGCGAGAGTATTTCGCGATATGTGGTTTTGTTGTTAGCAGGTGAGTATCCTACGGACTCCTTAGTAAATCTTTCAGAATATCGCTTATTCATGAACTCATTGCATGTTACAAAAGGGGTGATAGGGTGGTATTCAGGGTTACCAACATTGTGATAAGATATATTCGCAGGCGCTTTCCACACCAGGCGTAATTTGATATTCGAACAGCGCGAGCTCTCGCAAGTTGGTTTCAATACACATACGCAGTCAAACTTCAATCAGAATGTTAAGCATCTTACTGACCTGCACTCTCTAAGCTTTCAAAATCGCGACCAATGCTTAATTTGCAAGTATTCGGTGCACGGCGTCGGAATCGGCGGTCGAGCTTATCGGAACTCGCGACCGGGCGGTACCGCAGCAGCTTATCAATGTCCGCTTTCGGCCCCTTACTCCGGAGCTCCGCAGCCGATGAGATAACGCATTTCGTCTACCACCTTATGGAAGCGCCTCGACAGTAGTGTTAGTAACTCATGACCAAATTGCTCCCTATTTCGATTGATTCTAAACTTCTCAAACCACTTGTTCGAAATTTCGCAAAAATCTGGTGGACTTGCTCCAATGAGAAAAGCGGTCGTGGTTTTTGTGCATCAGCGCCCCTAGTAGCACACTCCCAAGCCATTGACTCTGTATTCATGCAATGTCACCCTCTATAGACTTTGCGCAACAAGATGAGCAGAAGGCCGCTCAGACTTCCGTACAAAGCTTGAGTAAGAACTCAGCAGCGCATATCAATTCATGGAAGGAACATATTCGAGGAGGGTTTGCGACTTTTCCAGTGATTAATGACCCTGCTCTTCTAGCTTCAGTTCGGCGGCTACTGATCGACATGTAGGTTGTCTGGGAGAGTGCTCAAGGTCATATCATCACAGACATTGATGGCAAACAATACATTGATTTGATCTCACAATTCGCCGTTTTGAACTTTGGCCACTCCCACCCCAAGATTGTAGAAGCGGCTGTTGAACAGATGCGCAAAGCAGCCGTACTCAACACGAGTTATGTCAATCCATTGTATGCAAAGTTGGCTGAAAGGCTCACCAAGGTATAACCAGCTGTCACTAATCATGATTCAAACCTGATATCTGACCAGTAGACAGAAATTTGGCTATGATTCTGTTGCTGCCATGGTGACGGGATCAGAAGCAGTCGAGTCTTGCGTGAAAGCTGCACGGAAATGGGCGTATCTCAAAAAAGGGGTGCCTACCGACGAGGCGTGGATACTAACAACTGACCACTGCTATCACGGTGTGACTTTAGCAACTATGTGTCTCTCAAATCATATTGCAGATCGTAAGTTGATGCAAACTCTTCATACACTTCTGGACAAAAATGTTGATCAAACAGACTTTGGGAAGCATGTCGCCAATGTCGGGCCGTTCGGACCCAGAAGTGGTCGGCTGATCCGCTATGGACATATCGAAGATTTACAAGCAGTGTTGGAGGAAAGTGGACATCAAATTGCGGCGTTCTTGATCGAACCTGTTCAAGGTTATGCTGGGTACGAGCTATCGGCGCATATCCACGCCTCTTGTTCTCATCACTGATATCGGGTAGCACACGAGCTCCGCCAACAGGCTATCTCAAGGCTGTTCAGGACCTCTGCAAGATGCATAATATATTGTTTATCTGCGACGAGGTTCAAACTGGATATGGGCGAACGGGTACCGATTTGGCATACCAGCATGAATCAGGAGTACAGCCAGATCTTGTCGCATTGGGCAAGGCTGTCACAGGAGGTAAAGGTTCTGCCTCCCAATGGTGGAACAAGATATCTAACAACTTTAGGCATCTATCCCATGTCAATAATCATGGGGAAGTCACATGTTATGGATCTCCTTGAGCATTATGATGTGGCCAGCACTTATGCTGCAACGCCAGTAGCCTGTGCTGCCGCTCTTGCAGCCCTAGATGTCCTCGAGGAAGAGCAAATCTCTGCCCGCGCGCAAAGGCTAGGTGATTTATTGACACAAGCCTTGGCTAATGCCAAATTACCATATATCCTTGAGCATCGTGGGAAAGGCAGGGGATTGTTCCAGACTCTAGTTGTCGACGAGTCAACAGAAAATGTGACGGCACGGCGGATCGCAGCTCTGTGTGCAATTCGTGGTGTTCTTTGTGGCAACAGCGCAAACAGACTCAGATTCAGCCCCCCGCTGACTATCACCGAATCGGATCTCTTGAAGGCTGTTGATATAATCGCAGGCGTGTTTCGAGATGTGACAACGCTTGGAGAGTTCCCTGGCTCTGAGGGGCTAGACTAAATTTTGATGTTAGCACATCACGGCCATTAATAAGAACAATGAGTAAATTTAGATAGGACAATACATTCGCAGGAAATGAAAGGGGACACGAACTAGTGTTTATTTACATCTTGATACCGTGATCTTGAGCAGCTGAGTACGATTTCATGGCAGGAGCCGGAGAAGTCTCTAGGTCACGTCTTCATAGCTGACCCTGAGCAAATTCCTCGTATATTGCAACTAGAGCAGCATTGTTGGAAATGTGTGCTGCAAAGGAATACTCGGCCCGAAGGTAGAATCTTGATTTAAGTCGTGGGAGGCCGGCCCATGCAAAGGTTGGTTAGACCAGTCACTGGAATCTTGAACATAATCCGAGTAGCAGTCTTTCAACATTCCTTGTGTCTGGGAGATACAAGGAAGTGTGAGAGCAGTGTCGATGTGATATGAGTCAAAGATGGCCGTGAGTCGTACGCCGTTCTGCAACGATGCAGCCATGATTCTGTACATCTCTTCGTCTGTGATAGGACCTGTTTGCCGGAAATCTACGGGGTAGATCACTTCATCATAGGTACGATCTCCATCTTCGTCAACAACATCGACAACCTTATTGTGTCCTTTTAAAGTTAGGGAAGAAAAAGTAAGACATTAGCAGTAACACTATCATACCAGAATAGTAAAAGAACAGCTTGTCGTCTGGCTGTGAGTTTTTTACGAGCCAGTGCATGCCGCATAGTATATTGTGCTTCGTTGGCTGACTTGAAGCACTCAGGTGATTGTCGGTAAGAATGACCATGTCTTCGCGTTGATACTGGAAATGCTCAATAAGGTATTGCGATATACTGTGAGCATTGTTGACGCAGTCATTGAGCTCTCCACGCTGACGAAAGTAGTTGATACCGATAAGCAAGGCCTTTTGCCGGCCTTGAGACTGATGGATCTGAGAAGCATCCTCGTATGGTGACGTAAATAGGACACGTTCGCTGTCGTCTCGTACGGAAAGATGATGCTCAGATAATGTGGATTCTGCGAGCATTAGGAATCTACCTAATTTTATCACTATAAGCACTTACCAAAATGGCAGTTGTTGAACCACGTAGATTGTTGTAATTGTTCGTAAAATGGATCTGGAGGGGGATGAGAGCCATCGATAAAGGCGCATCCTGGCGACATCTGGGATACGCTCGTCTGAATATATTGAGAATGTGAAGACGCTGGCAAATTGCAGGTTGAATGGATTATCTCCTGACCTATGCTCCTAGACATGATATATGGAGTGTTTGGTAGCACCTGGATTTATGAAGAGCTCGGAGACCCCGTAGGATCATGACTCAGGCATTGGTGCCTTGCACACAAGAGAGTAATCAAGATTCAATATTGACATCTAAGCTCGCAGCGGATATATATGGTCTAGATAAGAAGCGAAGGGATAAAGCTTTCACAGCGGTGTTACGTAACCATAGGGCTAGGTGCTGATGAGGCTACGGAAATACGACTTGCAGGGAGCATGTGAAGGCGTCAACGAATGCAACGCCATAATTATGGGACGACATCCTCGCACAATCAAGGATAATACCTGTTCTCGGGAAAGTGTCTAGAAACGGCGATCATCCTCGAGGAAAAGCAAGTCCAACTACAAGAGGCGCTGAAAGACGTATCATTGGCTAGCAAACTTAATTTGCCCTCCAATCGATCCTTTTCCCCGAATTTGGGCGCTAGCTCCGTTATCGGGCAAGCGAGTGGAGGGCAAAATTGGCCACATATTTCCGGAAGATTAACATCGCTAGTCTGTGCGCCTTCTCTTGCGGAACCGTTCGATGTTGAATTATTCTCCGGTGCTGTGCCTAACTAAGATCTAGACCCAAGTAGATTCTTGTCTCGTACCTGTGCCATGGTTTATTTTGTTTACCTACCCAGCACGCAAGATCCCAGGAGAGATTACTTTATGTCTTAAATTACCACAAATGGACTGTATTACATTCCCTGCTTCTCTTCAAGAACCCTAGCTGAGTTTCGGTCTGATCTGTACATTGTACATGGCTGAGGAGGCGGTACGTTTCAGGAAAGAGTCAGCTGTCACAGACGGACCCTGAGCAATCGAGGGGTACGATGGGCATTGCGTCAATAGTCTAGCCGGTTAATTAATTTGTTCAGCTGTGTTAAGTTGAACAAGGCATGTTACAAGCCTATGCCGCAGATTCCTGTCTGTTGCTTCTCTACTCTTCTAGATAGCTCACAGATGAGCTTGGCGCTAGCATGACCCAACTTGGTTACCAAGGCTGATGATCTTGGAACAATGAATAGACTGACCTTAAAAGCATGGAGTCTCATGGAAGTTTGAACGTGTTCGTGGGATAACTGCTGATACATATTTCACTAGACACCCGTGTTGAAATTTATCAATGAGAAATAACACCCTTGATCGGCTTAATTATAGGGCCTTCTTGGTATTAAGATGACGATGAAGTGTCAGGGATCGGGACTGCCAGGTAGGATAAAAGCGATGAGATGGAGAATTGTATTTCACGGGGTTTGTGTCAGATCTTCTGCAAGGCTATTAGACTGGGAAGAACAAATGCTACTGAGTAGGCTTGGAAAAAATGACAAGGTCGAGATATCCAGACGTGTGTTTCTCACGATGCTGTTGACCACACTTTATTCAGGTTTTAAAGCTCCCAAGTTGCCAGGACCTACAGCTTGCAAGGAACCGCATATCATCTTCCATTTCGTGGGCTAGCGGTCGTAGCTCGAAAGCTCGGGAGGCTTCTCTTTGGATTCAAGGAATTAGTATAATACATTTCTACCAATCTGTGGTAACTCGTAGAGATTTGTGGATACTAGATGAAGTCTGCGAGCTTCACAATTTGAGAGTCCGGACGTGAGTCTACAAATAGGAAAACGCAGAAAGCAAGATACGTTGACGAACAAAATGGTTTCATATCTCATCGTCATTGCAGTTGAGATGTGAGCGGGGAAATAACGATCAAACCTGGCCCTTTTGTAGGACGTATTCAAGATTTGTAAAAGCCAAGGCCCCAGAGATCGGAGATGGTAGACTGGATCAGCTCCCTTCCGGGGTTCCCGGATGATCTGCGTTTACCTTGAAAGTGGAGTAGGTATCAAACCTCCACAAACGGAGACCGGCAAGAGGTACAATACCCAAGTTCACTAGTCAGCAAGAGGCAAGGACGAACCTTACGATGTCTTAGATGGCTGTTTATGCCAGGCAAGGCAGAGTCTGGCAAGAGGGATTCTAGCTGCATGGTTGTGGCGCTGACCAAGATCGGATGTGATGTCTCCGGTGAACTTTGAGCGTGCGTCTCAAATTCCGGTCCTGGTCAAGCTGACCTACCTAGGAATCGCTTTCCAACCAGCGAAGCGGTACCTGCAATTACTAGTGAAGTCTGCGATAATAAACCAGGCTTGTCAATCTCCTATACATGATGGCGACAGCATTTGTTGGACAGTGAACGAGGCGGCCATGTCTGCAATGTCTGCAATAGGCTGTTTAGGCCATGTCCCGAGTGTTCTGGAAGACGCTCCGAATTGGCCAGTAAGGTGAGCGGCTGTTTGACGTATCGGTGACGTTTCGTGTACCTCCAACGCTTGAATTCATTATTTGATTAATTGCAGCTTAATGCTGAGATGAAGGTGGATCAGCATCCGTGGTGGGGGACCGCGACGCTTACACTAGATAGCCGAGCTAGACAAAATGCCTCCGAGCCACCGGTGTGGGTTCATTCGGGGGTGCCGACACATCAGTGCTGTAAGCCCTGTATCCTTGGTATCACTTCAATTCCGCCCTCGGGTTGGTTGATGCGATTGCCCGACAATCCAGGGGCTCTTCCAAGAGCCGGCACACACTCCCGTTGATCTCACCTACGGTAGCATGGCGAATTTAGAGCCGCATCTTCACCATTCACAGCGGAAGGCCGCGAAACAATCTGCGTACCCGTAGTCGATAAATGCAGGTTATGCATACAACACGTGGATCTGTCTATTCTCTTAATCGAACGGCTACAGGTCGTGCAGCATTGTGCTAGGAGGCGCAAATTGCCATTCCAATAGAAACTGGGTGACGTCGATGCACATGTAACTCTCGCCTCGTTGATCAGGTACGCTTTCATCGTTTCCTGTTGATGAAAAAACCCTTGTACCGAAGCGATGAGATGAGTTGGGCGTAGACAGCTTACCTGATCCAGCCCTGAGTTGCAAATGTCGCCAACCCCTGGACGAGCGGCATGATTCCAGGCAAAATTAGCTCTACAAGAGTTGGGAAGCCTCGTGGGAACTTGTCCCGACAAAACGGGCGTGCATGTGACTACTGTCGGGAACGGGGATCTTACGCCGTACATGGTATTTCATCAACGCCGAGGTCTCGCATACGGGCGATTTGGAGCAGACGGACTCTAATCCCCGCCTCCATTGCCACTACTCGGCGGAGCATTCACCAAATAGAGTTTCAAGAAAAGGACCGACAGAAAGATGGACTACTTTCTGAGGAGGAACGGCGACAAGCAGTGTCTGATCTGCACCGTATGGACTGATGGAATGCAAGGCAAACTGCTGGTCTGCCGAGGTTAGATACTGCTCTATCATATTCGTCTAAATTACATCTCCGGAGTGGTCGGGCCATTAACTTTGAGAGTTGTGTCCATTACAGCATGTCGGCACTGGCCGATTACCCCAAGTCCCCGCGGTTGCGGCCGTTTCCGCAACGCTTGTCTCCCTTGCTGCCGTCCTCGACTATGTCTGTCGGTAACTTCGGGCGAGTAGAGCCCGTTAGACAACCCGAAGAGAGCAAAAACAACGCGCAATTGTGAGTTATAATCGCAGCTTATTGGATAATGCATGGCGGGGGCAGTTACAGGGAGCGGGAGCCTGACAGGCCTGTCTGTCAAGACATGGACAAGGATGTATCCAATTACGGTGTGGTCTTCCTGAAAATCCGCGATACCTGTCATATTTTCGGCCACGCGAATGATCCCTGCCCGGCTGGCACACCCCTCGATTCCAAGAATCTGGGAACAACTAGCCAGATCTTACCAATCACCAGACATTATCCGTCTGTACCTCTCTCCTGGAGACCTGACAGATTGTCCCAGCGAACAAAAACCATCTGGACTTACAGAGGCAAATTTCCCCTTGCTGATCAACCCTTTATTGATGGAGTGCATAGCAAAGGAGAGCCAAAGAAAACGTACGCAGACACAAAGCAACAATAGTAATGATGTTGCACGCAGGTACCGTCTTAATTACTGTGTCAGCAGCTATTGATTCATCTTCGAGGGCTATTGGGTTTGAAACCAACATGACTTTCATCGACAGCTGTCTCCGATCACTTGGAATGTTGGGCTCCTCTTTCTCTTGATATTTTGGTAACAGTGCCTTGAGCCTTGATATCGAGCTGGACTGCATACTCATCACTCTATATGGCAATGGGCCGGCCCTCAACAAGTGGGTATCGTCATACTTGCCGGAAGAGACGTATCAAATGCGGTCTGTAAATTTCAGTCCTCGTTGCGCATACCCCCTTTTTCCATCGACTTTCCAGCGTCACTTTCGTCTTCTCTGTCAAATAGTACTGATATTTATGCTTCACTGAATAGACAAAGAGCGTCCTTCTTGTTATTGATATATGTAATCAGGAAGATCTTGTTAATATCAATATTGTTTTGATTTTGTGACTGCCTCCTGTCCTCAGATAGATGCTAGCATAACGTCTCTCATCAAATACTACGATAAAGATTCACCCAACCCTTGGAACACGTCAAGATTGGTCTCTGATCACGGTCCGAATTTACGAGAAGTATTTATCAAGCAATTGGATAGGGCGAAGATAGCTCAGTTTGGTATCTCAGGAACAGCCCATTATTTCAAACTAATCTTTCCTAAAAGAAACTTCTGAAGCAAAAGAGAGGATTATTCGTATACGGAACAGGCCCTTGTATTGTCTATTTGTTGAGCGGAGGCCAAACACGGATGATATAGGGCTGAATGACCTTGGAGATATTCGGATACGGAGGGTAAATGGCGGGCCAAACCTCAGCCTTAGTCGTAGTGATAACGTTGAAAATCTGTAGGTTATCCTCAACGGTTAGAACCTTGGCCCAGTTGACAATCCAATTGATGTAACCCTGGCTAATGCCCACGTTGATCACCCTAACGAAGTCTGGATTGAACTCAATGTCCAGCCTCGAGTTTCGCTCCTTAGGGATTAGGGAAGTCATAGATAGCGTGCCCTCCCCTGGGAGGTAGACTTCTATAGGTGGTAGCACAGTGATGACCGTGACATCATTTCTGTCTAGGCTGCCAATGGGAGCGGCACTATCACTCGTGGCCGCAGCGACCAGCTCCACGTCACTAGGAGGCTCTGGCCACTCGATGTATTCAATTTTCTTTTCGAAAGTGCCCAAAGACGTGTCGATCAGGACGGTCCTGTTGTTGAAGCCTCGGATGGGAAGATGAATAGGTAATTCATAGGTGATGTTGATATGCTGTGGGGGTGATTCTGGTATTGCAACACCATTGTAGGCTTTGAGGGCAAAGCGCAAACAGCCCTCCGAGAGTTCTTGCTGAAAGAACGGGGTAATAAAATAAGCTGGGATGTCGCCCTCGGCTCTGAGCAAGAGCTTGCGGCCTAACCCGTGATAGGAGACTGAGAGCCCCGAGGCAGGAATGGGAATAAGAGAAGCCATTGTTCAGAGTCGTGAAGCAATCTAGGTAGATGGAGGAAGTGAGGGTAGATGATTGATTGCTGAGTCCGAGTAGAACGGGTGCAGGAACTGAGGGCATTTATAGATAATCCAGGGAAACGAAATGAAAGCGAGGCCCCCTTCGATGACGATGCTCTCTAGGAGAACAAGATATCTCCATAAGCTGATCTCTTAAAAGAGTATGACGCGATATTATGTGTCTGAGATGACTGGTTTCCGCTGGATCACTGATGTGAGGGAGAAGCAGAGCGCAGTTGGATCGCTCTTTTGCAGCCAGCCACGGACCTACACTGTCTCTCCGCTGCCGGGCTACCATCTGTATTTGGTCAATCCCTTGAGTCTTCTAGACGCAATTGCCCTTTGGTAACCTCGAAAGGTACTTTACTTCATTCTATGTGTGGTGCGGTCACGAAATATTCTTGAAGAATGGCGTATAAACTATAGAAGCCCACAGACCTACGGAGATGATCAAAGGCGTGTGTTGGTAGGTATTCATGCACCACAAATATGGAGGTTGTTTCTCTATTCTCGGGTTGTCCAGCTAGCCACTATTCGCAGTCTGGAACGAAACCCGTCCTTGGTGTGTAATTTTGTTTCAGCCTAAGCAAGACATGTCGACTAACTAGTAGTATAGTCTCACGGTTATGTAGTCTCGTATACTAGGCCCATGATGCCGTAAGCCATCGTTGGCTGTAAACCACTGGGTGAGCGATTTAAGGCGACAAAGGATAGGTATTGAGAGGTCAACTGAAGGTAACGTGGACTGCGATTAAATTTAGGCGAGGCTCGCCGTGTTAATCGATACTGTGGCGTACACCAATTATCAATCGTCATGCAAAAGAACATTGTACCCGGCCAACTTATGGTCCGGCCAGTGTCTCATGTAACCCCTTACGTGGGCGGCCGTCATCAGCCAGCCACAAGCTTAGAAGATCTCTAGGTTGTGCGATTTTGGCACGGCCCGAGCCGCAGTTTTATCTCGTACTTCTCACTAGAGTCAGTATAGCCAGCCACTTTATAAGCCATGAAGGACGAAATGATGACCTAGAACCCCATTATTCACGAGCGATGGTGGTAACAATGAATGTGTCATAGGATCATTGCACTTGGTGAACGAGATACGTCTGGCCTAGTCGAGTTCGGAGCCACAGCTGGTTCATGTGGGTCTGGCTGCGAGCGCCAGCCGCTCTTTGGTACTGATAGACATGATCGACAAGCTAACTACATGAAAGATAAGTCCTGGACACCTGGGTATCCAAAATAGAGTCCGTGTGATTTCGATGTAGGAGCGGATGGCTGTCGGTTTAGAGTATCACCTTTGAATGCCTAATAGGCTTTCTTGAGATTAATTTGCGGCGAAGGATCGGTTAAACAAAGACTTTAGAATAATAGAGCTAACTTAGAGCATATCAAACCGAGAAACCAAACCGAGAAAGTGGGGAAAGTTATGATAATGCCCATAAGCCGTCAAACTTGTCAGCAGTAGCTTTTTCCGATACATGATGGAGGCTACTGCAGTAACGCCACGAGTAATCGAAATCCAGCTAATGTCAAACAGTCTACGCGCAAAGATGGGACCGGAAGACAAGGGCATGTTGATAGAGTTGCCAATTATATTGGGGATTAATATACCAGTAAAGCACTTAATATTTCTGGTTGCATTTCAACCCGACAGGGCTGAGATCGCCAGTATTTAACGGAATGTTGCAGCTGTAACTGTTAGTATTGGTTAAAACACGAGCATGCAAGCTGCATCATTAGCCCTGTGAATACGAGCCACTGTGCTGAATGATGTACTGTACATGACCGGCTAACTGATCGGAGTGTTGCGGTGAGAGGGTTTATCGTGGGGGGTTGCGGCACTTCGAAATCGGCGACTTGGCTCTTCCTGTGAAAGGCCCTTTTGTATGAAGAGACTTGCCGTCTCTTATGTGACACGGAATTTCATCGCCATCAATTCAATCATGATGGCACCAGAACTTGGCAACGAAGCGTACGATAGCCAGACATCTAAGGGCGATACACTCGAGGCCTGTATTGGAACGAGAAACATACTTCCACGTGATCAGAGCCGTTATGATGGAGAAGAAAGCCGGAATGCCTGGGGGTTTAAAGATACGACGTATCGGGTCACCGAGAATGGCGAAGTCGAGATAGCAGGTGATCGGTATGCAACCAGCGGACAAAAGCTTCCAGGCCTCTTATTCTGGATAAGTGATTTGACGAAGGTCAATATTGCGAAAGTTCAGCAGCCACCGAAATCGCCCGCGCAGGTCGCATTACCGTATACGCGAGAAAACAGTCATTTCCTGGAGAAAATCAAAGCCTTTATGGGGGCAGCCTAGATCTCTCTTGATCCTCTACAACGACTACACCACAGCCATGGACATTCACTTCAAGACGCCTATCAGATAAACTACGACCTCGTTCGTGTAAAATGCATACCCGACATCGTTCTTTATCCGTCTGATGTGCAACAAATGAGAGCTATCGTGGATGCAGCATGAGCAGCTAACGTTTGCCTCATACCCTATGGCGGCGGCACGAATGTTAGCCAAGCTCTCAGCTGTCCTGATGACGAGGAGCGAGCGATAGCAGCTGTAAGCATGCAGCGCATGAATCGAGTTGTTTGGATCGACAAGAAGAACAGACTCGCACGCATAGAGGCCGGTGTAGTTGGCCGACATATTAATGTGACCTTGGCCGACCATGGCATGATGCTAGGTTATGAGTCAGACAGTGTGGAGTTTTCCACATTGGGCGGCTGGATTGCGAGTAAAGCGAGCGGTATGAAGGAAAATCGATACGGCAACATTGAAGACATTGCGGCGTACTCTCCCGGTCTAGTGATGCCACGCCCCCTAGGGAGTCAATAGATCTCGACTTGCGGTCTTGGGTCCTACGATCTGATCCAGTTCAGCATGGCCCTCAAGCCTTGTTCCATAGGGCTACGGGCTATCAAAAGCGCACTGGAAAAGGCATATGTCATGCATGTTAGGTCATTCGATCCTGAGAATATGGTGGCTTGAACACTTGTCTTCGAAGGGACCAAAAAAACAGGTCAGAGGCACGCTGGATTGAAAGCAGGCGCGGGAAACGGAAAACGGGGCTACGAGATAACGTTCGCTATCGCGTATATCCACGACTTCGCTATGACTCTCAATATCTTGGCCGAGTCCTTCGAGACGTCTTGTTCCTAGAGTACAGCGAGTGAGCTATGCCGACGTATCAAAGAGCGTATTCTGAAGGAGCACACAGCTTTAGCATTGCCTGGCGCTCCATTTTTCAGCTCACGCATTAGTCAAGTGTATGATACAGGCGTCACGGTCTATTTCTACTTGACAATCTTTGTTGAAGGTGTTAAAGACCCTGTCAAGGCATATATGACCCTCGAAAAGGTGGCGAGGACTGAGATATTGGTATGTGGCGGTTCCCTCTCACATCACCATGGCGTCGGCACTCTGAGACATAAGTTCTTAGACCGGGTGCTATCTCCAGCAGCGATGCCATATCGTTCTGCGTTACAGAACTCTGTTGACTCCTCGGATGCTACGACGGAACTAAGCAGGTATAAAGTCTTAGCGGGTGCTGCTTCTGGTGTATAGATACCCGACATTACAAACAAAAAGGCTTCTGTCTTCTAGAAATTGACGACATCGACGATGTCAAAGAAGAAAGTAGACTAGAGCACATCTATTGCCTCGGCGCAGGATCACTTCTGCTTCATAGTCTGGCAATGGCGTCCGGTTAGGCGATGTACGTTGAGCTCCATCCATACAGCGCAAATGTAGTACACTACTTACGATAGCATTATATCATTGGGTTTCAAATCCACACCCAACTTGGCTTAATTAATACTCTCGTACTGACGTTGAATCGCTGTCACTAGCTCGTGCCACATGTGCCACATTTCCGCGCTTTTTCGAAGGATTCAGCTAAGCTGACATAGCCGAGTACGCGGTAAGCAGCTGTTAATCCTCTCATTTCTCTGTTCCTTCTTCTCTTCACCTCACAACTTTTTACATTTGTCGTGGTGCCTAGAAAACGGCCTAAAAACATGACTGACTTAGCCGCAGACTACGTTGTTGTTGGGGGTGGCCTCACAGGGTGCACCGTAGCATCGCGTCTTAGTCGGAGCATCAAACGCCCTGAGGTTATCTTGCTGGAGGCAGGACCCGATGCCTCCGACAATCCCGCCGCCGCTGGATTTCTAAGCGGTCTATCGCTTCTTGGCGGCGAACTTGATTATGCGTATCAGAGCGAACCTGTCGCGAACACAGTCAATCGAGTGCACAGCATAAACTCTGGCAAGGTTTTGGGCGGAGGAAGCGTTCTCAATTTTGGTGGCTGGCTACGTGCCGATGCCGCAGACTATGACGAATGGGCTGAAATTGCTGGAGACAGACGCTGGAGTTATGACGGACTGAAGCCTTGGCTTCGCAAACCAGAACAATTTCACGATTCTGAAGCTGACACCGATGAGCATGGTTTCGATGGACCTATGCATGTCATCTCAGTATCTGCTTCTGAATCGGGAGAGCGCAAGTATCTTTTGCGCGAGCCAGTAAAAGAGGCTTGGCTTGAGCTCGGAGTCGCTCCGAATCTGCAAAGGAAGAATGGTGCTATTGCAGGCCTGGCTGAGATGTATGAGAATTCTCATGAAGGAATGCGACAGCCGTCAAACAAAGCCTATCCACTCGATGACGTGAAAGTCATGACCCAAACCAACGTATACAGAGTCACCTTCTCCGGCACCACTGCGACTGGCGTAGAATTGGCGGACGGTCATAAGATTACAGCGAGAAAGGAGGTCATTATCTGCGCCGGCGCTTACCGTACCCCTCAACTCCTTATGCTCTCTGGCGTCGGTCCATCTGACACTCTCAACGAGCACGAGATTCCCATCGTGCATGAATCACCTCATGTAGGCCAGAATCTTCATGATCACTTTGCAATATACTTGGCTTTCCGTTTACGAGAACCCTCTCTCGGATACGCTCTGGGAAGCGCCGCATGGCAGAACCCTGCCTTATTCAAATATCTTCCGTGGGACTGGATGGTCAGCCAGCCTATCCCATCAGACATCGCGGCAAAGCATGGACTCAAGGGAGAAGAGCAGAAACGAGTGCTGTGGGAGTCCTTGACCGCCTATGTTCCTCCAGGTATTCCTGGTATCCCGGTTGATGGTACTCACATAGCCACCTCGACAATGCTTCTTCTTCCAACGTCTCGCGGCACAGTGTCGATCCGGTCAAGCTCTCCAAATGACCCTCCACGCATCCAACCAAACTACTTCTCCACCCCATTGGACCGTGACACTCTAATACATGCTACACGTCAGACCTTGAAGGCCATGCTAGCAACCGGCTCAATGAAGCCCATCGTCGAATGCGAATCTCCTCCTCTTGGAGAAGGTCTCGATGGCTTGACACCGCTCACAGCCGATGATAGTGACGAGGTCATTGAGGAAAGGATTCGCTGCACTGGAATGCAGCATCATCATTCTGGAGGAACTGCGGCCATGGGCAAGGTGGTCGATGCCGAAGGCAAAGTACTGGGACTAAGCGGACTAAGAGTCGCCGATGCAAGCGTTATTCCGGTGCCTTTGGGTGGGCATCCACAAGCATCGCTTTATGCCATGGCAGAGCAGCTAGCGAGCATGATTATTGATCAAGCTTGAAACGAGGCCACTCCTTATTGGGACAGAACGCCACGGAGTTATATGAGCAAAATTATCGAGGGTGTAGTAGTCCATATTTGAACATAAAAGCGACTCCTTTGATTAAGTGAACGTGACTAAGCAGGTTGTGTGTTGCATTGAAATAGCTCATGTTGAGAGGCAAAAATGTCTATGCTGCGCGTCAAACGATAGTCTCAATTAGGTCATCTCGTTTAAGCAGTCTAGAGAGACCCATTGTCTGGAAGCCTCTGAGTTTTGGTCTCCTATTGGTCGACTTGAGATAGTGTGTCGTAATCAAAACCAACATATGAAGTACGAATTGCGATATGACTGCAAGATGTTGGTTTCCGAGCCAGGATAGCATCCCCGTCTGGGCCGTCGCAAATCATAAGGCTTGGCTACTAGGCTTGACCACAGACTTGTATGACTGTGGAGAACGCGGATGTGTAGGACTTGCATCCGTCCGGTGACAGCCGGCCAGCACTCTCCGCATCGAACCGAATTTTTACTCTAACCAGAGAGATGACAAGAGAGAGTGAGAGGCCTTGATATAGAGTGGTCTGGCCTTTCAGCTGTACAAGGGAATGAACTGATGCTAGCTAGAACTCAATGGCTTAGGCGCAACTCTCTGATGTCTGATCAGCCACACACCAAACAAGACGCGGAGGAAGATGGGCCTCGTTTAACAGACCATGGAGCCAATATCCTCCCAGCTAGTCACTGGGCTGCTGTTATCTGTTACCAAGTAACTCTCGATTATGCTTGAGATTGACAATAGACAAACTCTTGGAAGTGAGCGATGATAACACGGATTCTGTTGTAGGGCCAGATGACTACAGCACGACCGCTTCGGTCGCATCATCAATCAAACGATATCGTACCATACAAGGCCGAGCTTAATTACTTGGCTGACTAGACTTCCACTAGACGCCGCTCGGCGGATGGCCACGAGATCCAAGACAAAAGGAAATTGGCCGATATCAGCAGCTCATTATCGAACACGATGCTGAAGGTACTAGCTCTTTGCAGCTTGGACTCAAGGTTGGACAAATGAGGAAGTCACGGTATATCTGACCCATTTCCGCCGTGAGATACGGAATCCTAACTACCACGGATACTACCGCCAGAGAGTTGTTTGGGCTCAAAAAGCAGAGTAGTTGTCAATAAGTCTCTGCCTTGTTGTTCAATCCCTTGTTTCTCAAGGAAATACTATACTACTGCTCTGAGACTTAATAGACTCCTAATTCTATGTAGCATCTTTCTTTTAAAACTATCGTTCATTTAAGCTTTATGTTCTTGCACTGAATCTCGATTTGCTTCACTTTAAAGAAATTAAGCTTCCTCCTTGGTGTCTACAAATGCCATGTGCTTATAAGCATCAGGGTAGCTACCCCCAGCAACTTCAGCACCCTCAAGGAATCTTCTGATTTCTTGGTGGTCTTCGTCAGTCAGCTTTACGCCAAGAGAGGCCCAATTCTCCTCCAGATATTTCGTCTTCTTCGTCCCAGGGATTGAAATGATATCGTCTCCTTGTTTAAGTAGCCAGGTCAGTGCTAGTTGAGACGTTGTGTAGTTCATTCTATCAGCGATGGCTTTGAGTTGATTGATCAGCTTCATGTTTGTTTCAAAGTTCCCATCAGAGAACCGAGGCACGCCGCATCGCATGGGGCAGAAAAGGTCCGAATGTTGTACGGTTTTACGCCATAAATTACCAGTAGGTGAACAATGAACAAAAACATATCTCGTATCATGTCCGCAAAAGACATGGCTTGATTGGAGGTGATAGTTCTACAAGGTGCATCGCAGTGTAGTCGCGAAAGCGGTAGGATAAATGCTTCCCCCTTCCGAATCCTAATTTAGATGAGAATAGATCGTATATTGGAAAGATAACCAGATCATAAAGTACTGATATCTTCGAGTTCTTGACAAATAACGTCTTCTAACATTACGATCGATCCACCTGTACAACAGCGCCCTTTGTGAAAGATTCTGAACCCTTCTGGTCATCCTGATCGTAAGCAGCATCAGCTGCATCGGCATGTGTGTCAAGCCCCTTTTGATTCAATCCGTTCGTGCCCACAACAGCATTCGGCCCATCAAACACTTCTGCTACTTCCTCTAGAGAGCGTCCCTTGGTTTCGGGGAAGAAGAAATAAATAAGCGTAAGATGGATTGCTATCGCAACGCACCACACAATATAGTATTTCCACGCAATCGCTTCCATAGCTACCGGGTTTGCAAAGGCATTGTAGACGCCTGCCAGGTTGCCGGTGAGTTGGTAAAGCATAGCTGCCTTGGCACGAAGTGAATAGGGAACGACTTCCATGATATAAGTGGCGCCAATTGGCGAACAGGCATGGTACCAGAAGGAAAAGACAAAAATCATCGCCAGAACTGCCCCGGCGTAACCGATATGCTTGAAGCCGGTCTCCTGGTTGATTGCAGAGCAGATCGTCCAAATGACGTATGAGATGCCCATACCCGACATACCGATGAGGAAAAGCTTACGCCGGCCGACCTTATCGATTAAAGTAGCGAAGATGACGGCTGATAGGAACCCCCAGATTTGAAGACCGGCGTTGAGAAGAAGCTGAGTTTTGTGGTCGGTGATGTTGATCGAGTTGAGTACTTTGGAAAGGTAGTAAGATGTGAGAGCATTGCCAGACCACTGTAACATCGCGGGGATATACAGGGCAAGAAAGAATCGATGCCAGTTGCCCCTAGTCGAGATCCATTCCGCCCATCGTGATCGTTTCTGTATCTTTTCAATCTCGAGTGTTGCCGAAATCTCGGCCATCTCAAAGCGAGCAAGTCTCGAGTTAGGGTCTCCATAGCCATGCCACTTAACCAAAATATCCCTAGCTTCTTTATAGCGACCCTGGTAAATCAACCACCGGGGCGATTCAGGCGCGAACAGAACCAGTGAAGCCTGAGCTACGGAAAAGACAGCCTGCAATAAGCTAGGGAGACGCCACGCCCAGGATCCATTCATTTGAAATGTACCGTACGTAACCCAGGCAGCAATAATAGCACCTAGGGGCCACGAAACCATCATGAACGAGACAACGCGGCCGCGATGTGTTGGGTACGTGACTTCAGACAATAACGGCGGAGCGGCAGTAGAAACAATTCCTAGGCCGAATCCAATAATGAAGCGAGACGCGACAAACATCCCATAATTATGCGACCAGGTCTGGATGATGGAGCCGACAATGATCAGAATCGATCCGCCAAAAATTGGCTTACGACGGCCGAGCCAGTCACACAACTGAGAGGAGACGAGAATCGAGATGAGAACGCCACCGTTTGGACCAAAGGTCATGGCACCAAGTCGTGTGCCCTTTGGTTGGCCGAAGAATTCCTGCCATTGAGGCAGCGACTGCATGCCGTTCAACATACTATCTTTGTATTAGAAATCGAAGTGAACGTGAGTTCTGTGAGCAACAAACCTAGCGTCGAAACCCGTTGCCGTTTGTGTCAGAAGACCGCTGAGGAGCAACAAGTTCAGTTTCCATAGTGTCCAATCGGCGTACCAGGGCTTGCGGTCGTGGGGAATGACATCGTTGAGGACAAGACCCTGGAAGTCATCCGCGTCGACGCCGGGAAGGTGTGCTTCGTCAACAATTGGCTTTGTCATTGTGAGAGTTGCCAATCGATGAGTTGTCTGGTCGCTCTGGTCGTTCACTTTCGCCTGGTGTATCCATAGCCTTTTGTATCTGTCCCAAAAATGGTATCGGCCACGGTGTATATACCGGCACATTGCCTAATGCAGCTAGTGATAATTTTCTACCCCGTGGGCCGCCCCAAGAGGTTCTGCTCCCCGCACTCTACCCCGGCCGGTGATCGGATTATTTGATTGGTATGCCGAAGATCATTAGCCCGACGCCCGACGCGTTATGACATCAGCCTCATCCTATCCTCCTAATCTGCCCCGACATCCCCGGCAACAGTGATTGCTGTCCTATAAATTGAAAACCTACCTCGCTTCGGGGGAATCGGAATCCGGTGATCGAATCTGTCATGATCTGTCCAGCTTGCGAAGAGGTGATGTCCTCAAAGGTCTATATTAGCCACACGAAGAGTCCGGAGAGTTCCATAAGAGGTTTAAAAGGAGTAGCAACCATGGCTTTCGTTCCTACAGGATTAAACTCTTTCATTATCTAATGTCTTTTGCGACCAATCCCTCGCCTTGACAACACTTTGCCGCTTAGAAGACTTCGAAAAAGCGACCTTTGAAAGTCGCGCCCCTCTCGTCGGAGTAACAACGCCCACGCCCTAGCTTAAGAATGCCGTGCTCTGAATCTGATAACCTACATTACACGCGTGGAACGTTGACGGAAGTTTCACAGCCTCTATATCGGTGACAGTTGTCTGAAAGTCTTGTCTAGTGGCTCCTTGAGTGGCCATTTAATTGACAGGACAGTTATTAGAGAAGGGCCGTTATTATTCGTAGTTAGAGATCAAATCGTTTGGAAGCAGCAGGATATATTCTATTCCTAGAGATCAGACAACACGATTATGGCCACGTAGGCATGGCTCCATATGGCTAACTAGATCCGTTTTAACGTTTTAATAACGATCGATTTAGATTCTTCCTCCCACTGAGAGGCTCATGTCTCAGCTGAGACGACCGACTTTTCCCTTAGCTAAGCAATTATCTTGTACTTTAGTTACTGCTAGGGTTTCGCTTGTTTTCTCGAGGTAACTATATCATTGACTTTTTTCATTGAACCCAAGCTCGATATCGAGAATAGAGTGGTGGATCATCAGTGGTTGATTTTTTTGCCAAGACGGACCCACAATCCACACACGCCTTTCTGTTGACACATCGAGCAATGCCTCATTTGTCAATTATAGCTTCCATCTCGATTTTGTTGATTTTCAGTCATGCGAGCAAAATTCTATATTGGAACTCATAAGTCCAGCTCCTCATGGACCCATCAAATTTCAGGTCCTGCACATTAGAGTCTTATCCTGACCGGGGAGTGAAGGCGTACAGTGTTGTTCTTGGCGCGTGGCTAACTTTGTTTCCCGCGTCTGGCCTTTTGAACTCGACTGGCATCTTCCAAGCGTATCTATTCGAGAACCAGTTGACTGGTTATACGGAGAGTCAAATCGGATGGATTTTCAGCGTTTTTGCATTTCTTTTCTTCTTCGGCGGGTTTCAAGCTGGTCTGGGTTGCCTTCGATGAAAAATTGACTCGGCTAACAAACCTACAGGCCCGATATTTGACAGATATGGACTCAAGTATCTGTTTCCGCTTGGAGCATCTGGCCTGGTCATTTCACTGATTTGCACAAGTTTCTGTACAAGTAGGTCGGATAATCGTTTGTGGTCGTAAACTGTGACTGACCAAGAGAAGCATATTATCAATTCATGCTTGCGTTTGGCTGCCTCGGTGGCATTGCATCGTCGGTGATATGGACAATTAGCATCGCAACCCTGGGAGAGTGGTTCATGCAAAATCGAGGACTCGCAACAGGCCTTGCAACGACGGCTGGGGGTTTCGGGGGCCTATGTTATCCTCTCATGTTCTCGCGACTTTCACGTCTAATTGGATTTGTCTGGACCATCCGGAGTTTCGCTCTTATCAGTACTTTGTGCTTCTTGGGTGGCCTTGTCCTACTGAAAACGAGACTTCCTAGAAACGCAAGATCTCACATCATTCTTGATTGGAAAGGCTTTAGAGATACCAGGTTTTCTCTCACGATGGCTGCTATCTTCATCTTAGATTGGGCTGTGCTAGTACCGCCAGCTTACATCACAACATACGCCTCCGTCAACGGATACAGGACCATCTCACCGCATATACTTGCAATCCTCAATTCGGCATCCACTGTGGGACGGGGATTACCTGGGCTAGTCGCGGACAAAGCAGGTCGCTTTAATGTCATGATTATATGTTCCATGATGTCATCCCTATCGATATTTGGGCTATGGCTCAATTCACAGTCTAGTGTCGCTCTTCTTATCTGTTTTGCTCTTGCATATGGATTCTTCAGTGGCTCGGCATACAGCTTAACACCAGTCTGCGTAGCTCAATTGTGTAAAACCGAGGAGTATGCCACTAGGTACGGCACAGCGTACAGTGTCGTCAGTTTCGCCACGTTGGCTGGGGTTCCTATTTCAGGAAATATTCTAAATGCAGGAAATGGAAATCAATACGCTGCCCTGATCTTGTTCTGCGGTGCTGCCTACACGGCTGCTACGGTACTCTTTATACTAGCAAGAGGTGCTAGTCAGAATTGGAAGCTATTGGTCAAATTCTGAGAGAGAGATTGAGACTTAGGACTTTTGGTATTTGAATTTTATAGTTGAATAGCATCTATCTAATTAGATATATTTGACATACCGCAATTCAATTGCTTAGTCCAAGCTTTTCAGAAATCGCGCTCTGATGTCCTTGGCTATTTCGACTTTGTTCACAGCTCTCTCCCGAGATGCTTTGGCACGTCTTTCCAGCCACTTATTCCGATCATCCACAAATTCCTTGAACCTCTCCTCACGCTGTTCGATGTTTTGTTTCTGCAAGTCCGTTAAAGCTCTAGCAGCGGACAGTTCTGGAATTGGCTTGATTCTGGGTCGATTTGGTGGTCTTTCCTCAACTGGCTGTATTCGCAGATCGGGGCCCAGCAAAGTTTGATACCAATAGGCGGTTGCTGACCAGTCATCTCTGAGATGATTTGCGTGTCCATGCTCAAGCTTGATCTTGATCTTCTTGTCAAATCTAACAGGATCGGCCAGATGCCATCGATATGAGGCCTGACAGCCTGGTACATCTTCTTCGTGTATAATAGTCCCGCAGAATGGGTACGCGTTCTTCTGCATGCCCCAGCCTTGGCTAAAGTAGTCCTCGCCGCCTGTACCGTGCATGCTCGGAGGCCAGGTGTCATGTCAATGAAGATCATGCCGTCGCCTTCGCCCCACCAGGTTCCTTGATGGTGAAGGACAGAATGATTGCACCCAATATAAGTATCTGACCCAGTAGTCTCAAGAATTGTATACCCGTCGCCGTTGAGATTAGGAACTTGGTTCTCAAGGTTATTTGTTTGCATCGCATTCGGAGCCCAGCCATTCGTAGGGTTCTCACGGCGCCAGTGAGCGTGGAAGTACAGTATCTCATTAGGGTCGAACGGCGCGGGGAAGAGCTCGTAGTCGATGCTAGCTTCAGAAATCGCAACAATGAGGCTAAGGGCAGCAATCCAGGGTCTCATTACGATCACCAACTCACTATGGGGTCTGATCATGCAGTTCACGGTCCCATACATGATTAACCCTGATGCTGGCAACTTAGGTGGATTGGTGGTTGGTTCTTGTTCCCCGAAACTAAGGTCTTTCATTCGAAAAACTGGACGAGTTATATGCAATGAAAGTGTCTCCAAGACAATTCAAAAAGGTAATGCAGGAAATAGGAAACGATCACATTGTACCACAACTCAACAACCCCGCGCGCCATATGGTATCGGAGGAGGCTGGCGTTCAGGTGGAGACTGTCTAAATAAGCAGCCCAAGTGGCCAAGGAGATTCATGGGCCTAGATCACCATCAATAGGAATACAGAGCCGAAACACACCTCGACACGGGATGAGATGCGTTTCCCAGTTCAAAAAGGGACCAACAAAGCCATTCTCTACCGGCTGTACCGAAGCCGCAAGACAACTCAGTAAGTACAAAAGA